TTGCTTCTTTCGGTGCCTGGGAGCAGTGTCATCAGGGAACAACTTAAATCAAGTTCCTTAAGAGCACTTTCCAAATTTCTCATATCTTTCACCAATTTTTCCAATTAACATTTTACTACGTCTGCTTTATTATTATTTTTCTTTCTCTATGCACATGCATTTTTTTTCCTGAGCCACCTGAGATTGATCATATAAAAAGTCTAATTATACTAATTGGGAAAATTTCAAGAATTTTTTTGATTTTGCTTTATGTACAAGTGTTTTTTTTTCCTTTTTATCTGACCTTACTGAGTCAACAAGTGGTTTTTTTCTTAAGCTCTTCAACTGTCAGTGAATGTAATTTGTGTCCAAACAAGGGTCTTTTAGTATGGAATTCTGGTTATATTCAAAATTAGATAAAATAGTCATTATTTGGAAAAATTTTAGGTACTAGTAGGAATGCATATACGGCCATTGCTTTTTATTTAAAAAGTAGATTTGAATGTAATTGACCATCTGAGCATTTGTTTTGAAATGGTACCTTTAAAAAGTTGTCTTGTCCAGGGTGTTCGTACCTTGTCCTCCTCAGGTGGCTTGTCATAGTAAGCTGCTCTCTCATTCGTTGCTCTGGTTTACTTCCTGCCTCAGCTCTGACAGGTTTCATGGGTTCCTATCTGGTCACTTAGACCGTTCTGCTTTGTTGACAAGCTCCAAAAGTCTTGGCCTGGCCCAACTAAAAGTTTCCCTTAATTTTTTTTTTTTTAATTTTGAAAGGAAATGTACTAACATACTAAGGTGAAACAAAGTTTAGAAGGCAAAGCAAGAGAGAAGTGTCAGAAGTACCTACCATAGGTCAGGCATAGTCTTAGGCATCGCAGAGATGACAAGACATGGTTGGTCCCTGCTCTCAAGAAGCTGATGAGGAGACGGTTACAATGTACAGATACTGAGGGAGTACAGAGGGCACCCAGCACACACTGTTTAAGAGGAGAGAGCCAACAGAGAAGACTTTTCAGACAGGATCACTGTGTAATTTGTTATTCTCACTGGCACAGTTTTGAGACTAAAAGGGGTGCAATTAATCATTATATCAGGACAACAGGTGTAAACAAGGACCATTCTGAGCAAACTGGTAACAGATGGTCACTTTACTCCAAGAAGGTAGTGCTGAGTTTTAAAGGCAAGTAGGAATTATAGGTTGGTTGATAAAGAGTCCTTTAAAGCAGAAGAAATCGTATGTAAAGAAATAGTGGGGGTGAGAAAGTATAGTGTTAGGTTGAAGCATGTGCAGTTGCCATTTTGCAAGTGGGAAATGGTCAAATAATTGCAATTTCACATCGTTTAATCTGATATATTAAGGTAACTTGAGCACATAGTGTTTGTGCTTAGTGGCAGGAGACTAGTCGTGAAGTTCTTTGAGTACCATACTATGAAATTTAGATTTTATTCTGAAAGTGATTATGTGTATGATTATTTTTAAATTTTAATTATAAGGTAGTTAATTTTTAAATAGGCAATACATTATCATGGTCTGATAAGCAAAAAATAGTGTTGGTATCAGTGAGAATTGTTTGTAGTTTTTTTGTGTGTAGTTTTTGTTAGGTTTTGGTTTCAGTGTTTTGCTTGCAGCAAAAATAATATGGAAGCTTTTATCTATGTCCTGGAACATTTAAAGTATTGGACCTATCTGTTCTTTGAGGGTTTTGTTGTATTCCCCAGTAAATCTTTTGGGTTGGTGCTTTTTATTGTGGGGTGACTTGGGGGACTGGTTGGGGGTTAGGAGATGGGTATCTCTCAAACAGTTTCTTAGTTTCTTAATTTTCCAGTCTATTTAATTTTTTTTCTCTCTGCATCTTCAACTTTTATACTCATGAAATTATTTTGCCATTAAATTTTTTATAATGATAATATGTGAAAGATGTTTTCATGGAATTTCTGTGAAACAGAAATCTTATTAAACAAACTTTGGTTTGAAATTGTGAAAATATGTAGGGTAACAAAATAATGCACTATTTTATTTTATTTTTTTGAGTTGCAGTCTCACTCTGTTGCCCAGACTGGAGTGCAGTGGCCGCTCCCGGCCACCGCAGCCTCGACCTGCTGGGCTCCAGTGATCCTTCCACCTCAGCCTTCCAAGTAGCTGGTACTAAAGGCGTGCGCTACCATACCTGGCTAATTTTTTGATTTATTGTAGAGATGAGGTCTCGCCAAGTTGCCCAGGTGGATCTCGAACCTGCGGGCTCAGGCAGTTCACTCACCTCGGCCTCCCAAAGCGCGGGATTACAGGCTGAGCCACCGAGCCCTGCCTAATGCACTATTTTAATTGTTACAGATGGATAAAGAAAATAGGATTTATATGTGGAGTCTGTGTTCAAGCCAAGTAAAGGCCTTACCGGGTGTCATGGTGCATGCTGAACAAGGTGTTTTGTGGAAGCTTGAGAGAAACGATGGGAGAGCTGACTCATTGATGGCCCATTGGTGGGTGTTGGCATTAGTGTGTATGTGTGTTCATATGTGTTTGTATGAGCATGTGTATGTACATGCGTATGTGTGCCAAGCTTAAAATATGTTTATTTTTGTGAGCAGCTGCATTACATGGATCCTCATCTATCTCTATGCATACCAACTTGTAATATTTATTAGCTGTAAGCACTATGGCATTTTTATGGGATATTTTAATTTTTAGAATTTTGTGTTGATATACAGTACATTGTGAAATGATTACCACTATCAAGCTGTAGTCATATCCTATACATTGGATCTCCAGAACTTACTTATCTTGCATGACTGAACTTTGTTGTACCCTTTGACCAGCAAGCCCCGCTTCCCCTACTGCACTGTAGCTCCTGACAAACACCGTTCTACCCTCTATGAGTTTGGGGTTTTTAGATTCATGTGAGAGATCATGCAGAATTTGTCTTTTTGTACCTGGCTTATTTCATGTAGCATAATGTCTTCCAGGTTCATCTTTGTTGTTGCAAATGACAGGATTTCCTTCTTTTTTAAGGCTGAATATGTCCGTTGTATTTACATACCACATATTCTTTATCCATTCATCTGCTGGTGGATACTTAGGTTGAGTCCATATCTTGACTATTATGAATAATGCCACAATGAACATGAGAGGGCACATATCTCTTTGACATGCTAATTTCATTTCCTTTGGATATATACTCTGAAGTAGGATTGCTGGATCATATGGTAGTTCTACTTTGGATTTGTTGAGGAACCCCCATAATGTTTTCCATAATGGCTATACTAATTTGCTTTCCCACCAACAGTGTACAAGGGTTCCCTTTTCTCCACAGTCTCACCAACACTTATCCTTTATCTTTTTGAGTGTAGCCATCCTAACAGGTGTGAGAGGATAATTCATTGTGGTTTTGATTTGAAGTTTCCTGATGATTAGTGATGTTGAATATTTTTTCAAATACCTGTTGATCATTTGTGTCTTCTTTTGAGAAATGTCTATTCAGGTCCTTTGCTCATTTTTTTATTGGGTTATATGTTTTCTTATTATTGAGTTGTTTGAGTTCCTTATATAGTTTGGATAGTAACCCCTAATCAAATGTATGGTTGCAGATACTTTCTCCCATTCTATAGTGTCTCTTCACTCTGTTGACTGATACCTTTGCTGTGCTAAAACACATTTTTAGCAACTGTTTTACAATTCATAAAAGATTTTAAACAGGTAAACAATCCTGCAATACAATTGAAATTAGAAATTATAATAAACCTGAGCACTTTTTAAAATAAAAGCATTTACTGAATTGTAGTTAGGCTTGCCTTTCCAGCCTTGTTCAGTTACTTGGTATCTTATTTCTGAAAATATTCATTCTATAAATTGTTGAAGCTCACGTAGATGTTGAACATGGATGGTTGAGTAATATATGATCCCTGTGGTAGACACAGGTGTACCACCCACATTCCCCTTTAAAGAAGGGCTTACTGCCCTGCTGTGAGAAATGTGGCATCCAGGCAGCCCCCTCTGCTTTACCCTTAGGAGCTGCCTCAGCAGTGGAGACACAGCCCTCCTCCAGGGGTCACAGACTTTCTGGGGCAGCTTTCACTTACAGACTGAGCAAGGCAGTTTCAGCCCATTGCAGAGCACTCTGAGGGACACACTTCTTTCTGTTTGGTTGACTGAAGTGGTGTTGGGTCTGCATCACAGTTTGAATTCTGCCCCAACTTCATTTCTCTGACTTCCATCCACAGGTGTTGATCTCTAATAATCCTTGGTACGCCAAACACCACATCACGTCAACTTTAGAGAAACCAACCTGCGTAACTCCTAATATGGAATTAGTTTACTGGAAGGAAATAATACCCAAGACAAAAAAATTTAAATGCTATCAGTGTTATATAGAAGCATAGGGTACCATGGTAGTGTGTTACAAAAAGGAACTACGCCTGTTAGTTATTATGTTTAGGAAGGTAGCCTACATTAGTATTCAGAGTATGTACCTTGGCCATGCTACGTACTCTTTCTGGATCAGCTTCCTCACTTGTAGTATGGAAACGACACAATTTCTGGTATCCTTTAGGACACTAGCCTGGGATTGCTCACATTGGGGGTAAGATTCCTAGCAGTAAGAGAGAGAGTCCATTGCATATTTTCCAAGTCCCTGTTTGCTAATGTCAGTTTAAAATGCTTTGACCAATGGGATAATGTCCCATTGGTCAAAGCATTTCACATGGTCAAGGCTTGATTCAAAGATGGAGAAGTAGACTTGCATTTTTGTGTGTGTGTGTTTTACATACACATATGTAAACATTATCAAACAACACAGTGCCTATTACATAATAGTAGTAGTTAAAATTTATCAAACACTTTCTGTAAATAATGCTTAGTAAGAGGCATCTGGACTATTATTATTTAACATGTTCTATCTTGGTATGATATGAAAAATAAGAAATCCATTTGGAGAATTGGTATATTCTTTTTGCTAGCTTAAAATACTTTTAATGATGATAACACTTTGCAAATGAAGTAAAACTTTTTCTCTTTTCTTCTTCTGCAGTAAGAAAAGTGGAAAACCACCATTACAGAACAATGAGGTAAAATTTTAAATCATCTACTCTGAGATTTCATGCATTTATTTCACTTATTTTGTTATATAATTTTGATTTAGGTGCAATTATAGAATTTTATAATTAGAAGAGAACTTAGGAATATCATCTTCAGTCGTCTACATGTTATAGGAGTTCTTTCCTGAATCCTGACAGGTTTACTTGAAACTGTTTATTCAACAGAGAGGGCTCTAGGAGGCAGCCGTAACTGTTTTGCCCATGCTGAGATTAACCTTCCAGCTTCTTATTGATCGACTCTGTTATGCCTTTTGTAGCATCACAGGACGAGTCTTCTCTGTTTTCTCTAGTAGGCCCACATATATTCGAAGATAGTTTTATCTTTAGTCTTTTTTTCCCCCTATGTTAAGCAACCTTTGTACCATCAAGTGTTTCTCATGTAACATGGATTCTGCTCCTTTTTCAGTTCTTTGTACACTGCTTTGGACCCTTCCTTGTTCCTTTAGACATTGCTTAGAATACAATATTATTGTTCAGATGTGGTCTGACTATCATGGAATATATCAGCACTGTTGCATTGCTCGATATGAACACCATATTTCTAAAATTCAGTCTAAAGTTGCTTTTACTTCTTTAGCCATAAATCACTATATAATTTTATAAAATTTTCATTATTTACATTAAGTCCTATGAAATTTATAGAACGTGCACACACAAGTGGAATTTTTGTTTTGCTATTTTTTTGCTAAATGAAATCTTAGGGGATATATAGGCATCTTACAAGATGGTAGGTTGTTTACATTAAGTGCGGTCTATGGTAAATTATAACCTTCAGGTATCTTTCTGATGAACAGTTTTGTTGTTAAATCTCCTACTTCTTATATTCATCATCCGATTTATTTATTTTTAAAATAATAGCTTTTTTGAGATAATTCATATATCATAAAATTCACCCATATAGGTGTATAAGTTAGTATTATTAGTATATTCACAGAGTTTTGTAATCATCACCACTGTATAATTTTATAAAATTTTCATTATCTCTTCAAAGAATCCTATACCCATTAGCAGTCATTTCTCATTACCCTCTTTCCTCCATTCCTAGCAACCACTAGTCTACTTCCTGTCTTTATTTATTTGCTTATTCTGGACATTTCATATAGTAAATTAACTCGCACAATATATGGCCCTTTATGTCTAGTTTCTTTCATTTAGCATGATGTTTTCAAAGTTCATCGTGTTGCTGTATTAGTTGTACATTTCTTTTTATTGCTGAGTAGTATTCTATTTTACAGATGTACCACATTATGTTTGTCCATTCATCAGTTGATGGACATTTAGGTTGTTTTCATTTTGGCTGTTATGAAAAATGCTGTTGTGAAAATTGCATACATGTTTTTATTTCTCTTGGGTGTATAACTAGGAGTGGAATTGCTGGATCATGTTATAACTTATTTGATTTCTTTTAAATAAATATTAATTTATTCTGGTAAATGTCAGCTTATTGGGTTTAGTCCAATAGCTAGACTACTAGTGTAATTTTTGAGTATATTTCTAACATCTAATATGCTAAGTAGGAGGTATTATCTACAGATTTAATCTACCTTCTTTCTCTTCCTGAAAATTGCTGTTAGTATTGATTAGAAGAACCAAGAGATTATTCTTATATCCTTAATCTTTGTTTTTGTTTTTGGTTATGGTTTGTTCAGCTGTGACTGTATCTGATGATAGCATAATTTGGTTCTTATTTCTCCATTAAGGCCACAGTAATTTTTAGATAGTTACTTGATTTTAAAATACGTATTCATTTAATTTTGAAGTAGTGCACGTGTTATAAATTTCAGAGTGTATAGAGGTAATCACTGTGCTGGGTTTGGTATTTAGCATTCCCTTGCCTATTTTTATATTTTTTGGGTGTGGGCTTTTGTTTGTATTTATTCATAAATGATATAGGTAGAATTACTTTGCATATTTGAATGTTTTATAAATCCACTTGTCAAATGAACTTCTGTGTCCCTCTGCTTTTTCCAGTGTACTGTTTTTAGATCTGTCTGGGTTGACAGCCATAGACTGGTTAACTGTTTTTTTGTGTTCTGTTGTATGAATGTGAGTTGCTTGCTTTTTTACAGTTGTACAGAATTTTCATTGAATGATTTTGCTATGGCTTATGTAATATTGATGTACATTTAGGTTGTTTATAATTTTATAGTAGTACAAACAGTGCAGTGTTGCTTTCATCTTTGTGACTAAGCGTATGTGCAGGTATATCTGCAGGATAAATTCTGCAAAGTACATTTGCTGGGTTATTTTACAGTCAGTGTCCATTTTACGTTTGGTAGGTGATATAAAATAGTTGTAACAATGTATACTTTTCCCAAATATACAGGAATACTTACACTGTTGTCAGCACCATATAGACTCTCATTTTACTTGCTATTTCAAACATCTTTCTCTGTCAAGGTTGCCTAAAGTGGTTGACGTGTCCATAGGAATTTCTCATTGCACCTTGAGCTTGTTACCTCCTGAATTTTAAGTATACCCCTCCCCCACCGTTGTATTATTACCTTAACTTCTTTAATGATTTGTTTGCTTTTTCTAAAATTTTCATGCTAGACTTATATCATCACAGTGGAATTTTTTTTTTTTTGTATTTAAAAAAAATAACTGGGCAATTTCAAAGCAGGGAGAGTCCATTGTGAATTTAAAATGAATACTTAGGAAAGGCTACAAATGTTATAAAATGTACTGTTGTAGGTGTTCTTATTTACCTTGATTTCAGGTATGACTTCATTGTGTAAAGAGTGCTACCAGCCCTGATACCTCTTCTCTGAGCTCAGCCTTTCTGAGCCAGCTTTCCGGTCCTAGGTTTCTTTGCAGAAAACACTGTGATGACTTTGGGAAGAATATAGTTATTTTCATGGATTTAAATGTAATAACAATCCACCAGCTTTTGGACACTGTAAGAACAGGAACAGTGACAACAGGAACAGAAGGAAACAAGGAGGAAGAATTGTATGCTAGTTCGCTTCTTATTTTAAAGTGTTTCAGTGTTACTCTTGTGTGACCTTTTTAAAAACTTTCTTCATTGTTTGCTCTGGATCATTTCTAGAGCAGCTAGAAGTAGGTGATCCTCGCTTAGGTCAGAAAATGGCCATTTCTTTCGAGTTATTCTACTTACAGTTAGAGCCATGAATGGAGAAGGGTCTTCACTGCAGGTGGTGTGTAAGGTGAGGAAGAGGCAGCGACAGGAGGAAAAGCTGTTGAGTCTGAGTTAAACTTTTAGAGTTGGTTGGTGGGTGCCGCCTTCTCTTTTTTCTTTTCTCCTGTGTTTCCTCAGTTTGGGGAAAATAAGGGAAATTTAGGTTGGATGTGTAGGGTGTGACCAGAGGAGAATGAGCTACCTCAATGAAATGGACTGTGAGTTGGGCTCTTGGTCTTTTTATTTATTGCCGTGTCCTCATCACTTTGGCCCTGAGTCATGTAACGTATGTTGAACGTACGAACACATGAAGCATGCACATATGAACCCAATAGACTGGGCCTATAGCTTAGTAGTGTGAGGTTTGCAGCTTTCTCTGAAAGATCTGAAATCCTGAGCCTGTGTTCAGCAGTCACAGGATAGGCTGATTTTACCCAGTTCTTTTATCGTAGTCTTTCTAGTCCAGCCATAAACATCATGCCTTTCACCTTCTTTTCTTGATCTGTAATTTTGTACTATTCTCAGTGCCTATTTATTAGGATTATATGTATAAAGCACTTAGCATGTGTCTAGCACATAGATGGTAGTTTATTATTATTCTAATTCAGTTCACAGACTATTTGCTTAAGGCTCATCAAGTTAGATGTTAATTTAAGTATATTTGCACTAGAGCTAATTAACAACTACTCTCCCTCAGGTATTTGCTTGTCAAGAGCATAGTAGTTAACTGGATAAGCGAACTGTGATCATGGGAACGATGGAAATGGCTAATCAGAGGATGGGGTTTTTCTGGAGTGTCTTGCCTTTTCTAAGAAACTTCTCCTAAACAGTCCAAGAGTAATAAAGTAGATAGCCTTTTCTACCACAGGCTGGTCAGGTCACCTTTTTCTTATCTTTACAAACTGTTTTGTACTTCCATTTTCATGGGCCCAATGAAAATGAAAACAAATCTCTGAAGGGAGATTTTTATCTTGTTTTAAACCCTCTACACTGACAGTGAACTCAGTCCTTCCTGTGGCCTCCAGGCTCTGCCCTTGAGATGCCCTGCCATCCTTGTCAGTCCCCTCATTCTTGTTCCCTCTGCTCTAGTAGTGCTTTCACCTTGCTGATAAGTGTGCACACCAGTTTTATTTCCAACACTGGATTTTTGTGCTTGGTATTCCTTGTGCTTCACTCCCCGTCCCCCCAACCCCCCAATAGTCACATGGTTTCACTTTATGTCTAAACTGAAATATTGAGGCCTTTCAGTCCTCTTGTCTGAATTATTATTATTTGTTTTCTCATGACTCTGCCTAGTGTATCTGTAATAATGTATTTATTGTTTTATTTTTTATCTGTGTTTTTGTCTGTCTTTGAATTGTATGAGGAAGTGAATTGGTAAATTCCATATTGGAAATGTAAAATGATAAATCTAGGAATCCAGAAGCTTCCTGTAGTTGACATCAGGGAAAATCCTATTTTTTTAAGTCTTCTATTAATCAGGAAATAGATGATAAAACAAGTCAATAAGCAGTTGACCATGCCTTAGCTAACTTTTGGACCGCATCTTCTGCTGTTCTTGCTCACAGCTCCACAGATTGGCCAGTTTGTTGTTCCTCAAGCACATGAAACAGGCTTTCACCTTCTCCCAGATATTCATGTGGCTCCAGAACTTCCTACGCCTTGTTCAGTTATTAGATAATGTCATTTTCCTGACAGCATGGCTGAATAAGAGGAGCCATGCATGCTTTTGCTTTCTCAACTCAGTGTTCATCCTGATAATTGTTTATAAGACTTAGATGAAACATTTTCTGTCACTTTATTATATGTTTGTTTTAGCTATCTTAAAAGGGCTCTTTTTTTTTTCCCTTAATGTAGAAAGAGGGGAAAAAAGAGCGAGCTGTGGTGGACAAGGTGTTTTTATCAAGGCTTACACAGATTCTGAAAATCTTGGTCCCTCGAACATTCTGTAAAGAGGTAAGTCTTATGAAATTATCATGTTAAATGTTCCAACTTTCAAGGTTACATGAAATCAGAGCAATAAAATCATAACACTTTGGTTACACTATAGGCCAAATGTTTTCTGTGCAGGTAAAGAGGACTACTAAATTTTTGTCTTTAAATCATCATCTGTCATGCAGTTACCCTTGTTCAGGGCCAGTTTATAAATTGTTTTTTCTTGTTTATGAAGTATTATTTCATTCTATTTTATGTGAAATACTGGAGTGCTATAGTGCAGGTACTCTAAATGGTGTTACTTTATTACAGTCAAGCACTGTCAATAAAAACAAGTTGTTGTTTTTTTTTTTTTAGTTTCACTCTCTCATCTAGTCTGGAGTGCAGTGGCACACTCATGGCCACCACAGCCTCGACCTGCTGGGCACAGGTGTTCCTTCCAACTCGACCTTCCAAGTAGCTGGAACCACAGGTGCACGCCACCATGCCTGACAATTTTTTTGATTTATTGTAGAGATGAGGTCTCGCAGGTTGCCCAGGCTATTCTGGAACCCCTAGACTCAGACCTCTGCCTCCCAAAGTGCTGGAATTATAGGTGTGAACCACTGTGCCCGGCTAAAAACAAGATTAAATTTAAAAAGACCAACCTTTTTATTTCTCTGAGATGCTAACAAGTTACATTGATGTGGAAGATTTGATGGTTGCTTCTTCATATTTGATCGAATATTTCTAAGATAATCCAAATGTTATCTGAATTCATGAAGTATTTCAGGAAGTGTGCTGCTTGTAGAAATAAAGTTGTATTATTCTTTTTTCTCTTTTATTAAGTCTACCTTTGTTACTATTTGTAAGCATTTTTAGTGATTACTGAAATCATGCTGTGTTCTCCATCTGATCACCTCGCATTTTCCTATCTGTACCTTGCTCTCCTGCTTACCTTGGCAGCACATTCTGCTGATTTTGCCCTTGAGAAATTCTAAAACATATAACCCTAGTTTTTCCCTAATTAGACAGAAATAATACATGTTCCTGGAAGAAAATTAAATAATGCAGCTCGATGTTTTATCTTTTTGGTACCTATCAGCCTCTCACTCATTTTGGCATGTAATCATCTTATATATGAGCATATATTTTGATAAAAATAGGATCACACTCACACTTTTAAGATCTGCTCCTTCCTTTACGATTTAAATGTTCTTTCCAAGTATCCTTGAGTTTCTCATAAATTGGTTTCTTCCTTCACATTCTTACTGCTCTCACCGTATCTTACCTCGATCATTATTATCTCTTACTTGGTCTTTTTGCTGCTGCTTCTTTCCTGGTTAGTCTTCTTTCTAAAGTCCTAATGGAAACATTTGCTTCCTTTTCTTACAGGGTAAATCACAACCTGACTTTGGCCTTCCTTGCAACATCAGCTACTTAGAAGACCCTGCACTGTTTTATGATCAGACCCTGTGCTCTCATGCTTTGATTTGTTTACAGCATCATGTCTTGACATCCTGTCCCTCCCCACAACAAAAGCAAACATGTTTTAAAAATTACTTAACACTAATTATCTTTTTTGTGAAGGTTTCTCATGACTCTTCAGGCATAACTGTTTTCTCATTTCTACCACCTACCTGACTTTGAAGAAACCTTATTTAAAATACAAGCTTCTCTGGAAAGAGTTGTATGAAGGGGTACCCCAAAAAACCCAGAATTTATTTATAAAAAATTTTATATATTCTTACATGTTTAAACTTTATTCACTTTGAAAGTACTCTGTTAGATGTCGACACTCCTATTGAGATGCTTTTTCCACTGCTCAGAACAGTTTTTGAACTTGTCAATTTTGATGCCTTTTAGTGTTTCTGCTGTTTTTTGTTTCACCCCTTCCACATTGGCAGAATGTATCCCTTTGAGGACTTTTTTCATCCAGGGAAACAAAAATTGTTTGGGGTGAGATTGGGTGAATAATAGGAAGGGTGGGTCATGGGGGCCATACTGTTTTTGGTCAAAAACTGCTGAACCCTCAGTGCAGTGTGAATAGGAGCACTTGTAAGTCATCCATCATGTAATGGGCAAACACACTCAAAGAAGACTCTCAAAAAAAAAAAAAAAAAATTCATTGAAGCTGAATGTAGCCTCTCACAATAATAACTGGTACACTGATGCCGATGGATTCCTAGAACACTTGCCTAGTGGGGAAAGCCTGTAGTACAAGGGGTCTACCCCAAAAAAATTCCTGTTTTTTGAGTTCCCCCCTCATATATTACTCCCCAATCAGTTAACAGCTGAATGCTCATTTTAACTATTGCAGAGACTTGATGTATGTAAAATGCGTGTGAGAGACTGGATAGGTCTCCAGGAGTTAGTAAGGGGGGGTGGAAGGGGCTACCTTGGCCAACTTCCCACCTTCTACCTCCCACGGCTCTCTTCTCTGACTTTAGCTTCTGTGTTACTGTCTCAGTCTTCAGACTGAGGAAGTGTAAGGTCAACTCTGAATATGTGTGTTTGAGGTAAATGCGGCGAGATTCTCATCTCACACCGAGATCAGTGACTCCCAGCCAATCATCCTACCTTCACTTTTCTTTATTATCTGACTTGCACAGCATTGCTTAAGAAGTGTTCTATAAACATCACTTTTTCATGTCACTTTTTGTTCTACTAGAAACTTGCAATAATTTTGTATGTGTAACTCTGCTGGATATGCAGCGTCATGCTTCATATTGTTTTAATCCCTTTATTTCCATTAAAACTTTCACCTTTTTTAACCCGTAATCTTCATTCTCCTCTTTGTTTTACTTGGTCTATTGAATGTATTTCTTTTCATTCCATGCCTGTATCATTTAATTTTATTTTAAATTTCAATTCTGTATGTTTTGAGTTGGGATCTCACTGTCACCCATACTGGAGTAAGGTGGCACGATCACTGTTCACTGCAAGTGTGACCCCCTGGGCTCAGAGTGATTCTTCTGCGTCAGCTTCATGAGAGACTACAGATGTGTGTCACCATGTTTGACTACTTTATTTTATTCTTTTTTATTTTACTTTTTGTAGAGGCGAGGTCTTGCTATGTTGCCCAGGCTGCTCTTGAACTCCTGGGCTCAAGCTGGGATTACAGGCATGAACCACCACGCCTGGCTATTTAACATATTTCAAATGCCATAACCATCTTTGTTACCCCAAACTTTCTCATCCTACCATTTGTGACATGAAGTGATACAAATATGCTGGTCTAAATCTGTCTCTTGTTTTTTTGTGTATAAATCTTGCCATAACTAAGTTTAAAAATCCTGTAAGAATAGTCACAATATTAAGATTTTTCTAACAAATTAAACCAAATTTATTCTACTTATGCACAGTTCCAAGCTTCAATATTTGTTAGTTGTTTAACTGTATATTGACAGTTACTGTCATTTTTTCTTTGTTAGCCTTGTTTATTAAAAACCTAAGAAAATCACAATACCCCTTGACCCAGGTAATCTAAGTTATGTTTCTAGCCCTGTTTTTGACTAGGTATATGAAGGCAAGTCATTTGACATGCTGCAGATTCACGTTTGAATTCTGAATGAGAAAGAGTAAATTATCTATAAGACCTTTTTCATTTATGCAATATTTTAAAGTTACTTTTAAGTTACATTTAAAAATTGACAATAGGCAAAATGTCAGCCAACCGCATTAAAGCTGGAATAAAGCTTTGAATTTGGAAACCAAAAGTCTTTACTAAGGTAATGTTTCTTTTAACTTTCTAAAATGCTTTTAATTTACCATACCTGGTTTATTTTAGACAGGTTACTTGATACTTATTGCTGTTATGCTGGTGTCTCGAACATATTGTGATGTTTGGATGATCCAAAATGGGACACTCATTGAAAGGTACTTTTTCATTCACCTTCTTCCTGTGTGTATGAAATAATCATTTGTATCCTATTTAAGCATTATCTTTATAAGCAAGAAGTAGATTCTAAGTTAGGTAAAAGATACTTAAGTTAAATTATGAGTTTGCTTACTTACTTAAAAAATATTTATTGAGTGTTTCTTATATGCCAGGCAGTGTGCTACCCTATGATAGAGATTTATATACCAGTGAACAGGAGAAACTCTGTACCAAACTTTGCTAAGCTGACAGTTTATCCAGGGGCAGAAACAGGTAGACAGAAATTTAAAATGCAGTATAATAAGTGTTGTAATGGGGATTTTTAAAAGCTACCAAGTTGGATATCTGAAATTAATGAGATAATTTGGAGGAAAATGTCAAAACTTTTCAAATTACGTTGAACATATTTTAGAAGAAAAAATGCTTAGACATTTATTTTTGCATTTAAAGTTAATGCTTTTTATATTTTTTTCATTGTATTCTTTGTATATATACTATTAATCACTGTAGTTGCTAATTTTGAATGTTAAAAACTTCAAAAATGTTTTGGGATATCTTGGCTTATAACCATTTACCATTTATCTATTAATAAAGATACCAATTTGAATGTCAGAGTACAAAAATTCTTGGAATTCTGTTTGCTGGTGTATAATATTTTGTGAGAAAATTTCTTAAAATATCTAAGATAACTTTTTGAATGCCCCAAATTTTGAAATGAAGGTTTTTTTCCTCTTAAATCTTTTGTTTGCTTCTTAGAGGATTTGTAGGAAGAGGACGAATGCATTATGCCCTCATTTTCTGACTCATTTCTCTAGAATAGTAAAGAAACATATCTCCACAGGATTAAACCCTTAAAGCATATGCCTCTGACTATACATAAATTACACAGGCCTTTGCATTCAACACAAGTCTCACTCAGACCTGTGGTCAGTTCATGCCTTTTTATTTTAATACAGCTAATATGAACATAGTTTTAAAAGTAATACATGAACATACCTTAATGTCAAATAGCCCTACAGATCTTGATTAATCACATCAGTTCCTTACTCCTCCCATTCCTGTCATTCCCCAGAGCCAATCATTTGTTATCCTTTTTACTGTTTCGTCTCTTACTTTGTGTCTGCATTTCGGTATAATATCTTTGTATTACTGTTGATAGATTTCTCAGTTACAGAGTATGTGTGTTCACATCCTACTTTGGAAGGCAAGAATTAGCTTGTACCCTTCCACCCCATATTCATGCTCCTCTTTACATGATTTTAACTGTTATTTACAGCTGAGCCACATGGCATACTTCGTTAGTTCCTTTTCTATGTAACATCTTGTTTTTCCCGATGTTTGTAATTGCAAGTTGTTTGTATGTTCTAGTCTTTTCACTTACTTCTCTCTAGTTCACCTCGAATTTTTGACAGTACTACAAAATCTTCTCAATGTTGTGATATGATCAACTGCCAGGTAATCTGTCAATTTCCATTCCCTATCTCGACCCCCTAGCCTGAACCTCTTTAGTTTCCTGTCTCCTGCTTGCATCAGAATTGGTTGCATTTAGGCTCACCAAATAGCTGTCAAGTTTGAACTTGCTATCATCATTTTTGGAGGGAATTTCGTTCTTTGTTCTCTCTTGCGTTAAATAACCTGCTTCTGGATCTTGTTTTCCTCTTCCTTGGTTTACTTTCTCGCTTAGGCAGATGCAGTTTTTTTCTGAAAAGGGGAGCACAGGAGAGTTTTTGTGTCCTCATAGATCTGAACATGTCTTTCTTCTGCTCCCGTACTTGATTGAGCTGTGTTTGTGCCTTCCAAGTTGGAAATCACTTTTCAGGATTTGAGTGCTTCACTCTGTTGTTATCTTCTGGCTCTCAGCCTTGGCTGCAGAAAGATTGAAATCATCTGGAGAGTTTTAAGAACTGTTAGCGCCTGGACCCATCCCTAGAGATTATGGTTCAATTAGTGTCAATTCTTGAAACATCCAGGTTATTCTAGAACCTCTGATCTAGTCCCAGTTGGGTGTTGAGCCCTGTTACTGTTCTGATTACTCTTCCTTAGTTGGGGATTTGGTCCTCATGCTCCGCCCCCAAACCTGTTATTGTTGTTGATGCTGTATTTCTTAGTGTTTAAAATTTTCACTGAATGTTGGTATGAATTTTTTATTTTTTCATTTATCGTGCTGGGCACTAAGTGGGCTCTTTTTCATTTGGAAACTCATTCTTCATTCTGGGAAATTTTCTTGTGTTTTTAAAAAATCCTCTATTTTTTTCTGAAATCTTAATTAGCTGTATATTGAATCCCCTGGACTGATCATCTGATTATCTTATAATTTTTCTTCTATTTTCATCTCTGTAATTTTTCTAGGAAATTTCTTTAACTTTGTTATCCAGTGAATTTGTGTTATGATTTTATTTCCAAGAGCTATCATTTGTATGGATGTTCATTTTTATAGTAGTCATTCTTTTAACTATGCCATATATTTTCATCTCTGGAGCTATTGGTATTTTGGGGGGGGGTTTGGTTTTTTTGAGTTGGAGTCTCACTGTGTCACCCAAACTGGAGTGCAGTGGCCGCTCCCGGCCACCGCAGCCTTGACCTGCTGGGCTCTGGCGATCCTTCCGCCTCAGCCTTCTGAGTAGCCGGAATTACAGGCGTGCGCTACCACACCCGGCTAATTTTTTTTTTATTTTATTGTAGAGATGAGGTCTCGCCTGCCCAGGCGGGTCTCAAACCTGCGGGCTCAGGCAATCCACTCACCTCAGCCTCCCAAAGGCGCGGGATTACAGGCTGAGCCACTGAGCCCGGCGGAGCTATTGTTTTAAAAAGACTTTTTTGTGGCTTTCTGTTCTGTTTCTGTGTCCTTCGTGGTCCTTTGTTATTCTGATCTTTGTTACTAGCATTGGAAGCTTTCCTCAATAGTCTGTGATTCTTGGCTGTGAGTTCATATGTACAAGTGAAGGCTACCTTAAAATTTAGAAGCTGGAATTGAGGGCTTGCCAATTATTTGCTCTTCCTTGAAGGATGTTTGTAGGGGGAGACTGGCTGTGTGTGTGTGCATGTGCGTGCACACACACTACTGAATCATCAGTCCTCACAAATTCTAAGATGTGAAGCATAAGCCTAATTAAAATGTGTGTTCACTGCTGCTGTCACCTTTAGGAGGCTTGGCTTCATTACCCCGTTCTGTTTTGACGAGCTATGTGCACAAGTGGTTTGTGTCCTTTGTGTAACTGACTTTTATGCCCTTTACACGATGGTATATTTTTTCTTTTGATAACTTCGCTGTGATTTTAAATGCTATATCTGTTTACTAAAAATACACTCTCTCCAACTATAATATTGTTAATTGCCTTGTGGCAAAAATATCGAGGTTTCATCCATTGTGAACAACATCATATACATCAGTATAGAATCAGTCACATATTACATATAAAGCATAATGTACAGTACTAGCATAGAGTAGAAAATTTATTTATTAAAGTTTCCCCCTTTTGTTAAAGTTTTGTGATTTCATACTTTGTGATTCAAAAGAATAATGCTAACTTTTCTGAACTTGGAGTTTTCAACTTTAATTGAATAGAGGCTGTTTTAATTTTCTCAAAGACTTAATAAACTGAAAAAAATGCATTGCCAAGAGTAGATGGTGCATTCATTTAATTGGTGATGTTGGTGTAGGGACTACAGGAAAATCTCCCCCTCGCCCTTTGAAGGGTCACTGAGAATCAGCTGACGAAAGGCAGATTAACAGAAGAAAAGGCACATGCATTTTTGTTACTGTGCACAGAAAAATGGCGTCACTCTGGTCTTCCCCCAACCCAGTCAGGTGCAGATGCTTTTATGCCCTTCTTTGGGGAAGGAGAGCTGCGGAAGTGTGGATAATTTTAAGAGGGAATAAATGATTTTGAGGACAAGTCAGTGGGCTTGGAGAACATAATGGCCTAGGACAAAGTCTGTTTGACCCACAGAGCAGGCAGTGGTTTGTGACAAAAGTCTGTCCAGGTGTGTCGACAGACTTTCTTCCTGTGATATGAGTTCATTTCATGAAAACTCCAGGAAGGGACCAGAGGTGACTGTGTTCTTCTTCAGTGGGTCTGGACTTCAAACAGATGAGGAAACTTCAGAGAACAACTTCATCCCGTGCTGTAGGAGAGACAGAGGATGGAGAGGCAGGAGAGGGTGGGAGCAGGTCAGAGAGACTCTGAGGCTTCTCCAGCTCACCGTGTCACAGCGCCATATCTGGGTTTTGGTTTCTGAGCGAACCCCAACAGTGGACAAAAGGAAAGTTCTTATGTAGCATGAGTCAGTTATAATTCCACTAGATAGAGTAGTTTACCTGTGGGGTACTCAGTTTTAAAATTTAATTATGAAATTTAAAAAATTATTTTTCTTTTTTTTCTATGAGTTTTTTAAAAAGTTATTTTGATATACTTTGAACTTGTATGTTGTAAAAGTAGCACGAGGGGATCTTTTGAGGCCAAGATTTTGAGACTAGCCTGGGCAATATAGCAGGATCCTGTCTACAAAAAATTTATAAATAGCCAAGTATGGTGGTGCAACATATGTAGTTCCAGTTACTTGGAAGTCTGAGGTGGAAAAATCATTTGAGCCCAGGAGTTTGAGGTCACTAGCTATGATCCTGCCACTATACTCCAGCCTCGACAACAGAGTGAAATCTCAACTCAGAAAAGAGAAGAGAAGAGACAAGAAGAGATGAGAAGAGAAGAATATATAGCAAAAGGAACTTCCTTACATTCCTTATATTCTTAACCCACATTCACCAATTGTAAAACAGTCATTTTAAAGTTAATTGCTAACTTTTTCCTTAATAAATATCCTTGAGGCTCTGCTATGTATGAGATCGTTAATATTTGATCAAATTAAAAGTTTTACATTGTACATTGTACCTTCATAATTTTATTTGAAAAATTTACATATTTCTCTGATAAATTAAGCTACATTATAAATTGATTTGTTTTTCCCTTTTTGCCTGTTCCAACCAAAGTAGATCGAGATTTATGTATTTTTGCTAAGGAAAGAATTTCACAGGGACTTGTTATGATCCTTAATGGACTTCATTTTAATGTGCTTTTTATTGGGTTGATGCATAAGTTCATAGCGTTTTTACTTGCCTGTGTTATGTTCATGCTACATGATGGTCACGGTTCATTACATTTGACAATTCTCGGGCTGACTGATATGAATCATTTTGGATTAAAGCATTTAAATGACTTCATCAAAGCCAGTGATCTTCCTGAACATGGAGAATCACTCCAGTCAAAGTGACCCTCTTTGAAATGATGAGACCATTGTCCTGATGTGCTTTCCCTGATGGCATTCTCCTTGTGCATGGCACAAATGTTTCGAGCTGCCTCCTTTGCCTTTAGCCTTCTGTGAAACTCAAACAGAAGAATATGTTGGAAGTGTTTCTTGTTTTCCACTTGATACTCCATCTTCTTTAGCTCACAAATAGCACTAACTTTCTTCAAATCTGCAAAGTGCAAGGCGTATTCACAAGCACAACATTGTTACTCCAAATGACAAACAATAAACTCCCAACACTGCAGTGTTGCTGCCAAAAACAGGTGCTATAAACTTATGCATCGACCCACTGTATTTTAAACATATGTTTGTGGTGGCTAATGGGCAGATCTTAATAGCACAGACACCATCATTAAGGTGGACACTGTGGTAATCATGATATGGAGGAAAATTCTTCATACCCTATTGCTGTCTTATCAAGTCATAAAGATATATTTTATTTTCACCCATTTGGCTAGAAGCAGCCTTTTAAAATTACCAAACTATGTTTTATAAAGATTCTTATATATTTTGGAATTAGTAATGATTAGGGCTCTCGTAAAATTACTCTTTGTTAATTGTTTTTCTTTTGCAGTGGAATAATAAGCAGAAATAAGGCATTATTCAAGAACCCATTTTTTAAATTTATAGCTGCTATTCCAATGGTAAACCATTGCTGAATGAAGGCATGTTCTTTACCAGAATGTTATAATCTTGTGTGTTTCACAGCTTGGACAGCACTAAAACACTTTGGTTTTATGTAAAGTTGGGTTCAATCAATTTTAACATAAACCTTTAAACTCTTTGCATGGTCTTATTGCTTAGTGTCTCTAATATTCTTATTGCTATAAACAATATTTTTGCATGTGGTTCTGTTCTATTTAACTGTCTTCTAGTTAACTGTTTTTTTTTTTTCTTTTAAATTTTTTGCCTTTTTGGAGTTATATAAAAATAGGACTTTTAATTTTTTTATCAGTCCAAAATTTCCCAAAGTATGTGCTGTGGAACCCTAACTATGGCAGAGGAAATACCTTGTGTTGCATCCCCTCCCAGAGAGTCATGGTGCACATAGTACACATCCAAAGCTTTGGGCAGGTCTTTGGTAAAGTACATCTGTGAGCTTGTTCAACCCAGACTTTTCCAAAATTTGTTTACCTACTCCCTCATAGGAAGGAAATTACTCCTCTAGACATGTCCTGGTCATTGTGGGCCGGGGGGCGGGAGGCAGCTAGGTTTAAATCATTTTGCCCAGTGTTTCAAAAATATATTTTATACATTTTATATAAATATATTTTATTACCTTTGGGAATATTAATATGTATTTTTGGAAAAAAGTTCTATGATAAAATAAGTTATATCTGTTTAGTAGATCATACACATATAATACTCAAAGATCCTTTATTTATATGATAATAAAACTTGTTTCTAGACTTTTAATGAAGTAGTGGAACCCTTACTTTAATATTTTAATGTCTATTTTTAAAACATAATTTATAAAACATTAAAAACTGGTAAAAGAGGAACTAGTCTAGCTAAGAGTGTTGAGAGGCATGACACTTCTCCAGAACCCACTGAGGCTCTGAGGACCCGCCTGCCCCCTGCTCTGCTCCCACCTGTCCTTTAGTCCTAGTGTTGGCAAGCCAGGACCCATGAGCTGAATCTCATACCTGCCGTGTGTTTTGATAAAATTGTACTAGAACACAGCCACGCTCTTTCTTGGCTGCTTTTGCTGTACAGTTGCAGAACTGAGTCGTTGCAGCAGAGACCTTATGGTCCACAAAGCCTAAAATATTGACTCTTGACTCTGTAGTAAAAAGTTTGCTGGTCCCTGCCTGTCATTAGTTCATACAAGTGACAATCAGGATATTAAAATGGTTTAAAACAAACAAATGCTACTTTGATTTATCCATAATAATTCATTTCTGGGCTATAAGGTTGTTCATTGTTCTGCCAGCTAACTCTTTTTGTGGCACCTTAATTAAAAATGGCCCTTCAACTAAGGAGAGAATTAGTTATCATTCTATTTAATTTTGCCATTTGCAGAATGGAGTTAAGCAAGTTGTTCAAAATGATTATGCTTCAAAGGTTGCAAATATGCTTTTGTAAGAAAATGTTTTTTATCATCTTTTTTTTTTTTTAGTTCTTTTGATTCAATAGAAATTTCCAAAAGGAATTTTAGAGCTTTACAGAAATTTTCTTTGTGTTAGATTTTGCTTCTTTTGCAACTAATGCATTGCATGTGGTGGTTTGCAGTGGTATCATTGGTCGTAGCAGAAAAGATTTCAAGAGATACTTATTCAACTTCATCGCTGCCATGCCTCTCGTAAGTTTAATTCATTAAAAGTTTTATTTACATAGGGAATATTTGCACTTATCATAATCTTAAAGGATGTTTACTTATTAAATTCTTGAAAGATTGATCATACCAAATTCCTATTTCAAGTTTAGTTTTGTAATTTATAGCATAATTTTTCAACCTTATGTTAGAAAAATTAAAAGGAATTATGTTTAGTCAATTTCATTAATAGGTATATGTATGGGTGGGGTTTTTGTTTTTTTTTTTTTTTTAACCAGTCCAGGTTTTCTTCAGTGTTTAGCAACATCCCATTAGATGGCAGTAGCACTCCCTCCCCGTTGTGACAACTGAAAATGTTTCTAGATATTTCCAAGTTGAGAGAGAAGAGGCAAGGGGTAAATCATCTTGGTTGCTAAACTATAAACTATTATAGTGACTTGAGCACTCATGTAGTTTGTTAAATTGGAATTTATGGTCCAAATTTATTAAAAATAGATTGTTTATTCTAAAATGTAAGTGATTTTCTTAGCTTGATTCTTATTTTCATTTTATTGACACTGTAAGAATTTTAGTATTCTAAATTTTGGTGTAAAAACAAGCTTGGTTGTAAATCCTATTAGGTTGAAAATATGTCAGAAATTCTAGTTTAAAGCCAGGCTCGATGGCTTAGCCTGTAATCCCACGCCTTTGGGAGGCTGAGGTGAGTGGATTACCTGAGCCCGCGGGTTCGAGACCCGCCTGGGCAGGCGAGACCTCATCTCTACAATAAAATTAAAAAAAAATTAGCTGGGCGTGGTAGCGCGCGCCTGTAATTCCAGCTACTCGGAAGGTTGAGACGGAAGGATCGCCGGAGCCCAGCAGGTCGAGGCTGCGGTGGCCGGGAGCAGCCACTGCATTCCAGTCTGGGCGACAGAGTGAGACTCCAACTAAAAAAAAAAAAAAGAAATTCTAGTTTAATAAAGCTGGAGGATAGACATACATAGTTTTTAGACCTTTTAAAATAAAAAATTGAGATAACAAACATAGATAGCAGAGATTGAGATTTAGCAGAATCCAGTGTTTTGCAAAGACCACTTGAGAAAATTTTTGTTAAATGTGAGTTGAAATGTAAATGTGAGTCCAGAAGTGGAAGGATTAATTTTAATATAACAATGGAAAATGTGAGTAAAGATGGCTCTAGAAATAATCTGGGAACGAGCAATAATTGGTATAAACCTATAGTGGCTTTTTGAACAAATACAAATACAGTGTGTGTAGTATTCCATTGTCTAGGATGTGATGCTGATAGCATCACATGTCTGAACTCCTAAAGCAAATCTTTATGTTGACTAGAAAGGTGATAGATTTGACTTTTTGTTTGTTTACCATCCCCGAAAAGTAGCAAAATGGTATCTCATAATTAATGATGTTAACATATTTTAAAATTAAGTTCTATGTAGAGTTTAACACAAGATAATTCAAGCCAGTTGCATATGGTTTAGCTAAATACAATAAACAGAACTGAATAATACTGATTTGAACTCAGTTATAACAATAATAGGATTTAGGACATAGCAAAATGGTAGAGAAATAAATTATAATTTAGAAAGTAGAAATGAAGCAAGACCAACACTGTTTGTTTGTTTTTAGATCTCTCTGGTTAATAACTTCTTGAAGTATGGGCTAAATGAACTTAAACTGTGCTTCCGAGTAAGGCTCACTAAATACCTCTATGAGGAGTATCTTCAGTAAGTGATGACCTGTTTTTGTATTAAAATGTTTAAATTGAACAGTAATATCTATGAAGCCAAGATGCAGAAGTGTTGATTTACTGTATATGTTTTTCAAGAAAACTGCTTTTAGACAGACATTTGGGATGACCCCCAGTTGCTTGGATTCTAGTCTATGCTCTTCCCCTAATCAACAAGTCCTCAATCTCTGGACTTGCTTCCTCCTCCTTAAAATCAGGGCAACCTTTAGGGGCTCTTCTGGCTCCAGACTTTTTGTTTCTGTGTATTTCTGCTGGGTGGTGTAATGTGAATTTTTTTTAATCACTTGTTTTAAAATCATTTTCTTACTGCTATTTTAGAGCCTTCACATATTATAAAATGGGAAATCTGGACAACAGAATAGCTAATCCAGACCAGCTGCTTACACAAGATGTAGAAAAATTTTGTAACAGTGTAGTTGATCTGTATTCAAATCTTAGTAAGGTAAGTTTCTCTTAAAAAAATTATATTTAATCTGTTGAATTTTGAATCTAAGCAAATTATATAGAATTGATTTGATAGGCAGAGTGGCAGCATAGAACTGTTTAATGCTTTTATAAGAAAATTAGAGCTATTGTAGTTTTAGTTATATTTATTTAACTTTTAGTATTATTTTGGGGAGGTGCCTTGACCAAGAACTGATAATTTAGTGCCTTAGGACTTGTAAGCGTTTTGCAGGCTGATTTCATTAAAACAACAACAAAAAATTCATCTCTTGACCTGTGTACTTCTAACTATTGCTAGAGACTGCCTATCAATTTATGTTTCCAGTTCCACATTGATAGCACTAGAGTAGGACTTCCTTTCTGCCCATTCATCTGCTTCATTATCTCTAATAGATCATGAAAGTAGTAATCAACAAATTTCACAAGATTCAAGTTTATTTCCCTTTCCTTCTGTTTTTCCCCTTCTCCTCAGAATATTGCCAGAGCCCCTGGCTCTGAGAACCTTACCCAGTTTTCTTTTCGCTTGCTGATTTCTTCGGTTCTTTTTTGTTATGTTATCTCACCACCCTCACAGCTCTCACTGCAGTCTTCTTATGAAGGAGTCTTCTTTGCCATGACCTCCTGTGTTGACTAGGACCTGTGGTGAATACCTGTAAGATTGCCTGCAGCACCCCTCCCCTCTTGATCTGAGATGCTGCAATTACCACCTGATTCACACGGTAGCTCCTGATCTTGGGCAGGAGCTTGTCTCAAACTGGACTGATTAGAGAATCTTTGCCTCTGGTCACAATTGACCCAGATAACCAGTCTTGGGATGAAAAACTGTATACAGGGGACTGGGTCACACTGTAAGAATAGGAATGCTCCTGCTTCAGCCATCTGGATGGAGGGAGGACAGGCAGTTCTTAGAGATATGTATCCAAGAGAGCATCTTTCCTCGATCACAGCCTATACTGCTGAGATACTTTTTTTCTTCATGCTAGTCTTTGTCTTTATTTAGTTCTCCAGAAGTCTTTGCTAGCTGATTCCAAACTCTGGGAACACCATCAACTACAAACAGTTCAGTAATTTCTTCTCAGTTCCCATCACCACTTTTTAATATTTGTTCTCTGTGTGTGGGTGTACATGCATGGTGGGAGTGGAGGAAGCACACATGCCTTTCCTGTACGTCTGTAGACGTTCTTGCATGTGGGTCCTTGAGCAAGTCTGTGGCTCAGGTTTGGCCACATCTGCCATAGAGAAGAACCCTAAGTGACTTAATTGTAGTGGTGCTGTACACCGACTGTGTTTGCTGTTTTAATATCTATTTGATCTCTGATCTCTGACTTAAATTATGAGTCATTTTTGCCAATAACTTTTACCTGCGCTTGAATTTTACAAGTATCTCTGGCCTCTTGGTAATTTATGAGGCAAAAGAAAAAAAAAAAGAAAAGGTAGACCTTAGTACAAGTGAATTAATAAACCAAGCCATCTATTCTAATAATAATATAAATATTAGAAAGGGATGTCTGTAGCCTTAAAGCAAATGAACACGATTTGGGTTTCTTGAAAAACACTTCAAAATTTAAGCAACCAGTAGTGCATCAGGTGAGTTGTCTCTATGTTTGAGGAGCAGTACAGTAATATTTTAGTTCTGGAGTTTTATATCATAAGAGTCAGAGGCTTACTTGATTAATTCAACATATAGAAGTTGTGATAAAGTAATAGAATCAAACAATTTTAGATCAGGAAAAGTCTCTTACTGTACAGTTAAAAATATATAGAACCCATAAAAGCTGCCAGCAGATTTGGGCTTAAAACTCAGATCATTTTATTCAGTGTCTTTACATTATATTAAGAAATTACTAAGTTGCTAATAGTTAATTATTACAGAAGAACTGTCTTAGTTAATGGAAAGTGATAAATGTTTTTCCCACTTGATAGTCCATAGACATTGTTCAGACTCTCTCAGTATTTTCTTGAGATAAAAACCTGTATATTTTAGTAATATAATAAATTATTAATTTGATCTACATACAGTTACAATTCATTATACTTGGTAGAAACTCTTCATGTTGGTAGTTATGTATTAAATATTTAATGACATTTTGTATTTAAAATGTTGTATTAGTTATCATTCTAGTTCTTTAGTTTTAATTCTGTGTGTCCTATTTATCTTACAGCCATTTTTAGACATAGTTTTGTATATCTTTAAGTTAACGAGTGCAATTGGAGCTCAGGTGAGTCTACTTTTATTTTACCTTTTAAATTGCTACAATGCAATATAAATATATATTATTAATAGCTTGATGGTCTGTAAAAATTTTTGTGTATCTCAAAGAACAGATTTTCACATGATGTACCTTATAAAGTCTGGTTATAAAATAACTAGAGATTTTAAAAGTACTGATTTAGTTTTTATATTTTCCGTAAGTTATATACTTGGAAAATTTTTGTGGCATTAAAAACCCCAAGTATTTAAACATTGAATATCCATGTACTTGTTATTTCAGAGTAATGTCTAAAAAGAGATATGGAGACAACCATTTTAATATCACTTTGAATGTTAAAACTATCAACAATACATTTATAACACAACCATATAATAGTGTGTTTGTTTTATGTATGTCTTTATGTGCATGTATTGTGCAGTTGATTAATAAATTATTTACATAATAGTTTTTGTTGTTTTCTGAAACACTGGAGAAAGCAGCTCTGTTTTTCTTTTCTTTTTTTGTGTCGGAGCCTCAGTCTGTCACCCAGGCTGGAATACACAACCACTGCACCCTCGACCTGCTGAGCTCAGGTCAGCCTTCCAACTAGCTGGAACCACAGGCATGCACCACCCGACTAATTTTTTGATTTATTGTAGAGATGAGATCTTGCCAAGTTGCCCAGGCTGATCTCCAGCCCCTGAGTTTAGGCAATTCTCTTGCCTCAGCCTCCCAAAGTGCTGGGATTGCAGGTGTGAGCCACCACACCTGGCCAGAAAGCAGCTTTTTATTGAAAATTTTCTGTTTTCCTAACCCTTTGTTATCCTGTGTTCCAGGTTTAATCATTTTTATTGCTTGTTTTACTATAAGCAAGTGAATAGACCAAATCCCTTGTCTTTTTGCTGTAATATTTTTATGGTACTTTGCTACATTTTTATAGTATTAAATGTGTCTTCCTATTGTCTGATTCTGCATTTCTTAATGGCAGAAACTATGTTGTAGTTATCTCTTTGGTCCATATTTGTAGAAGTTGCTGAAATGCACTGAATTTATTTTTTAAATCTTGAATACGTACTATATTCCACATACGTTGTGCTAGATAGTAGGAATGAAAAGATGAATAAGACACAGTTCCTGCTGAAGAGGAATTACAATATGGTGAAAGAGAGATATTGAAGCACTTATAATGCAGTGTGATCAATGCAGTAATAGAAGTTTCAGTAAAGTGTTTAGTGCCTGGAAGAATTGGAGCTGATATTTGAGCGGCTTTGGGAGATAAAAGTAGGCATCCATTAGATATGTCGGGCTTGCCAAACATAAGAACAGCCTCACTTAAGTGGCATGTTCAGGAAACATTTTTAGTACGGCAGAGCTTAGGATATATATGGGAATGAGGAACAGGTTTAAGATAAGCTTAAAAAGTTAAACTTGAAACTTCTCTCTTGAGATGGTCAATGGCTGATGAGGTCACTTACAAATTTACAGAGTCCAGTAGCTGAAAGTAAGATATACAAGCAGGGAAAGGCAGACAGAGCCTGTCTGAGGAATTGATCTTGAGGCATCTACACAGTGGTAAGGGAACGATACATAGCACTTAATTGGAAATCCTACCTTGGATTCGTGATAGTGGTAGGACTAGAGGTATAGACCTGAACTGAAAAGAAGACTGACGAAGGAACCTGATGGAATATTGTCATTCAAAGAGAAGGCAAGAAAGAGGTCCAAGAGTTAACTGTGTAATCCTCAGAGTCTGTCAAGAAGATTCCCAACAGAAGAGAGTTAGGTGTCATAGAAACAGTGGGAGCTGCAGGTAGGAGTGTTTAGATGAGCACACGCAGGGAGTTGGAGGTGAGATGCAGTGGTTGAAGGAGCAATGGATAAGGGGTAAAATGTAGAGGCTAGTGGCTATTTGTTCAGAAGAGAAGCAAGGGGGAGAATAAGCCACTGGGGCTAATTATTTGTATGTATTTGCATCGAGTGATTTGTTATTATATCCTAGAACTTTGTGTATCTTTCTGTCCCAATAATATTAGGGCCCAGCAAGCATGATGGCCTACTTGGTTGTTTCTGGGTTGTTCCTAACTCGACTTAGAAGACCTATTGGTAAGATGACAATAACTGAACAGAAGTATGAAGGAGAATATAGATACGTTAATTCCCGGCTCATCACAAATAGGTAAGGAGAAGTGTATTCAAGCTAAGGAGAAGTGTATTCAAGCTGTATTAAAAATTCACTTTTATGGATATTGAGATCTTTCCGTTTACTCCACAAAGCCTAGTAGTACTGTTACTGAAATAGTGTGCGTATTTACTGGTTTTGAAAATACGCATTATGAAGGATGTTCGTTTTGTAAAGCAATAATCCTCCATAGTTTGAACTTCTGATTAACCATGTAGTATCCCCTGATTCACCTGTTTATACCTTCATTTGATCCTGTTAATTTAATTTTGAACATAGTAAAGATACAATTCAAATTCCAGTTTACTTACAATACTTGTTTAAAGAAAATTTTCTCAATTTATCCATATATTTTTATTTTGAGACTAAGCTTATAATGCTCAATAATAATTCAGTCTCACTGCATATGTCTCTCTACTTATTTTCCAGAGAGTTTTAAAATCTAAAACAGGAGGGAAAAGTGTGGGCATTGGAGCCAGTTATACTAGTTTTAGTCTACCCCTTCCACATAGCAGTGATACGTGATAATACTTTAGCAAATTATTCATAGCTTCACTTTTCTTATTTATAATAGATAGATAATATAGGGTTGTTATGAGGATAAGATTTGATAACATGTAAAACTTCTCGCTCAGTTGTTTATTTTTTCTGTTGCTGAGACTGGAGTGCAGTGGCACAATCATGGCTCACTGCAGCCCCAACTCCTGGGCTCAGATAGTCCTCCTGCCTCTGCTTCCTGAGTAGCTAGGACTACAGATGAGCGCTACCACACATCAAAAATAATTTTTTTATTTTTGTAGAGACAAAGTCTCACTGTATTGTCCAAGCTGGTATTGAACTCCCTGGGCTCAAGGGATCTTCCTGCCTTGGCCTTCCAAAGTGTTGGGATTACAGGCATGGGCCACCATGCCTGGCCTAGCTCAGTTTTTGTTATGGCACAAGTGATCAGTAAATTTTCTCATATATTAATCTGTCAACCTTAAGTCATTTGAATGTTCTGATATTTATTTAATGCTCTATGTGGTCCTTTATAGATATTTACTAAATTATTCCTAATAGCTCCCTCTTCGCATACTTCCTTGATTGCTGAAATAGTACCAGTTTTAATGGGGTTTTGTGTTCGAGGGAGGCAGATGAATAGAGGGTTAAGTAGAGAGGTGATTTGCCAAGTAAATGTTGGATGGTATCAGGTAGGATGCTTTTTACTGCAAGAAACAGAAAGCCTGACTCCTGCCCTAACAGTAAGGACATTTACTGCTTTACATAAGAACCTAAGACGGGAGTTCCAGGCACAGCGTGACCAGGCCCCTAACTCAGTGATTTCTCTTGGCTCAGCCTTCCTTTGTAGGCTGCCCCTTTCCCACAAGATAACAAAAGGAGTTCCAGATTTCACTAGCCCCTCTCCCCTGCAAAAAAAAAGTCCAGAAACAAAAAGGGGCCATCTGGTGTCTGGTGTCTTTTGAAGAGAGCAAAGAAACCTTTCCCAAGAGTCTGTCTCATAGGCCATGGTTATCACTGCCCATGCCCGAAGCAGTTACAGCAATGGGATAGGCTTGGACCCGTCAGGACCCACACTTCATGATGGGCTTCAGGCCACTTCTATAGCATCAGGCACAGAAAAGTATAGATAATTTAAGAAAGGTGGAGTTCTCTGAGGAAGAAGGACGTGGAAGAGAATAGATGTTAGATAGGCAGCCATCAGTATTCTGGGATGTTTTTACCTTTTCAGATTTTTCATTTGAGCCAAAATGTACAGGAAAGTCTGTAAGGAAGAGAATCCGTATGCATTTTCTTCTGTAGGCATGAGTGTGCAGAGGAGGTAGAAGGGAGTTATAAAAAGCAATAGTAGGTGTAGAATTGTGGAATTCTCATACCCCGGGGCTCTGTGTCACTGTGTCAAGGAAACTGAAACACATGACAAGCATGATGCATCTTTTCGGAGAGTTAAGTTAACTTGAAGAAGGTTCAGGTAGGAGAAAACTTGTTTTTATGAAAAAATGCAGGTCCGTCTTGAAGTAGAATATATAACTCATAATTTTTTAAGGGAAAAAAGACTTTAAAGAAATACTGCATATTTGTTGAAGGGAGTTTCAACTTGGCCTTCTTGACTTCTCTGTAAATGTTTACTTTCCTCTACTGTAAGAGGTAATTTGCTGGGAAACTTTACATCATTCTTAATGAAAACTATGAACAATAGGGTCAGATATGAGTTACAGTTTCAGCTCTTTGACTTGCTGGCTGCATGATTTTCACAAATTTACTTAACTACAAACACTGAGCCTTTGTTCATCTATAAAATGCCCTTTTTTCTAGTCAAGATCCTTATGGTCCTTGTGGATTCAGTCATGCCAGTTCAAGAAAGGGGTGTGGTTGTGAAGATTTGGGGCTTCAGGGTTCCCTCCTGGGAACTGGCACTTTGGAGCCATCAGGACTCCGCCTGCTTTTCTGTCTTGCAGAGGCTGTATATCAAGGCATAGCTACCTGTCATTTTCTAACTGTTCCTCTCCCTCCTGCCTGGATATGTCTGTTGTGGCCCTGCCTTACTATATGTCATGACAACTTCCTTCGGTGTCCCATTTCACATTTCTGAGCAGTATCCCAGCATGTCTTTTCCCATCAGGCTTCATATGGGTAGGTTGCAGTCCAGGGTGTGGTTCAACCAGGTGTACATTACTGTGCTCCATCAGCTGAGCTCAGAGCAGGGTCTCAGGTACAGACATACCAGGTATACCAGGTAAGCTCTCAGTCACAGGTGTCCATTTAGACAGAAATGTTCAGTCATCAGATACTATGTTTCCATTATTTTTCAGGCATAGGTAACATTAAGATTAATTGCTAAATTATTTTCTTTAATAGTGAAGAAATTGCCTTTTACAATGGGAATAAAAGAGAAAAGCAGACAATCCATTCAGTCTTCCGAAAACTGGTAAGATACCATACCTGAGGCTCACATGCTTATGGAAAGACTTTTTTTGGCCTATCCTGATATATATAAACATACCTTATGTATATATTCATATCACAAAGCTAGCTTTTAAAAATAGCTATAAAGGACTTTTATCCTATATTTTTAATAAAAATATGAAATTAGACTATCATATCTGTATATTAAACTTCCCATTTATAAAAATGGGTAGATTTGTTAGAATAATCTTAAGTGTATTTTTGCAGAGGTTGTTTAGAAGTCTTATTTAGTAATAAATTTCGTGATTCACACAGAAAAAGTTGTTCCTGGAGCATTCATGAAAATATAGTGAAGATTATTTTATAGAACAGGGGTCAGAAAACTTTTTCTGTAAAGTCAAGACAGTATGTATGTATTTTAGGCTTTTCAGACCTTATAGACTCAATTGCAACTCTTCAGCTCTGCTATTCAAAAGTAGTCATGTATAATACATAAATGAATGGATATGGCTGTGTTCTAATAAAAAACTTCGTTTACAGAAACAAGTAGAAGACTGGATTTAGACTGTGGGTCATAGTTTGCTGTCCTTTGATTTAGCGTATAGACATATATTTTAGATGATTTAGAAGGGTCAATGAGGTTGTCATTTTAAATTGCTTAAGAAATTGGGTTTTTGCCTTCTCTATATTTGATGTGACTGAACTTCTAGAGTACTTACTGCCAGAATGCATTTCCGGCCATTTTCTAGGGGACTGCTGCTTACCAGCTCACCTTCATGTGGCTTGCCTCTTCTTGTCCTCCAGACTTGCAGCCCGAATGTCACCTGGTCGAGGCTCTGCCTTCTCTGAGCTGCCTGTTTGAAATGGCCTTCAATAGTTACTTCTGTTTTAATTATCTGTTTTCTTAAAATATTATACAGTCAACCCTCTGCATTTGTGGGTTCTGAATCCATGGATTCAGCCATCCTTGGATTGAAAATATTTGGGGGAAAAAATTGTGTCTATACTTACTCACAGACTTTTTTTCCCTGTTATTTCCTAAACAACTGTTTACATCGTAGTTGATATTATAAGTAATCTAGAAATGGTTTAAAGTACATAGGATGTGCATAGGTTATATACAAATATACCATTTTATATTAGGGACTTAAGCACCCATGGATTTTTGGTATCCAAGGGAAATCCTAGAACCAGTCCCTCTCAAATACCAAGGGATGACTGTATTTCAGTCTGTAATTATCTTATTTATTTACTGGTTATCCTCTTTCATTGAAATGTAAACTCCATGAGCTCAGGGATTTTTGTCTGTTCTACACATTGGTATATCTCCAGTAGTCACTGAATAAATGTTCCAGACATTGTCTAGTTGCAGAAGATACTAAGAACAAGCCTCCTAGTACTCAGGAAGCCCCATTTTAGTGGAGGAGACAGTAAATATGCAAACAACTAGACGTTCTGATTTCAGGTGGTATAAATCTGTGACTGAAAATGAAGCAGGATAAAGGGATGGATATGATGGGGGCTATTGTCTTGCTATTTTAGCTGGAATGGCCATGAAAGCCTTTCTCTTGAGGTGATGTTTAGTCAGAAATCCATATGAAGCGAAGGAGTTAAGTCACAAAATGTAAATATCTAGGAGCAGCAAGAAGAAAGCCCTAAGTGGGGAAACCATTACTTATGGAGATCAGTGAGAAGGAGCAAAGTAGAAGCAGATGAACTTGAAAGCAAAGCCCAGTGCCGGGCCATGCAGGACTTCGAATCACTTGAGAGATGAGCAGTGTGTAGACACTGCAACTCCAGAGTAAAAAACATTCTTGGGCTTGTAATTTTGAGATAATGTGTACTCATATTAAGGCTACAGACATAGGCTGTGTGGCACTGGTTTACATTAGCACTCAGTTCAAATTGGGTATAATATAATTCTTAGAGGAAGCACAGGCCATGTGTCTCTACTGAAATCAAAGGATTGAGGGCCGGTCTGGACAGCTTGTGTTTCACCCAAGTTAGCTCATCCCACAATTCTTTCTGCTTTGGTTGTCGATCAGTTTTGGAATATATGTGTCTTGACAGTACTTTCAATACAGTAGTGTTGTACTGTTACATGCAGGAGAACCAACACTGTTAAAATTGTTTAGGTAATTTTCATTCTGTTTGTATAAAGATGGTTTTATAAAGTTTTTGTTTGGCACCTGTACTGTGATTAGCATTGGGCTCAATAAAGGGTGCTTTCCGGTATAATCAGAAACCATAGGCATTCAGTAATATGTGTTGAATAAACGAAATATTCAATTTGTTTTATCCTCATGATAAAGTTCTTTTTTTAATACATAAAAAAATTATTATTATTATTATTTTTGGTTTTTGTTTTCTGCTAGGTGGAACACCTACATAATTTCATTTTGTTTCGGTTCTCTATGGGCTTCATTGATAGCATAATTGCCAAATGTAAGTATATTTTTAAAGAACTGGTATGGGGAAATTTGTGTAAAAGTGAAACATGGTTAATGTTCTAAGTCGTACCTGTTCTGTTTCAGACCTTGCCACTGTAGTGGGTTACCTGGTTGTCAGCCGTCCTTTCTTAGATTTGTCTCATCCTCGACATCTCAAAAGTTCACATTCAGAACTTTTGGAGGTAAAGTGATGATAATAAATGAAAACTTTAAAATAGAGAAAGCCTTAGAAATATAAATTAAAACTAATGTTTATTTCTATTTAAGGATTACTACCAGAGTGGAAGAATGCTTTTGCGAATGTCTCAAGCCCTGGGTCGAATAGTTCTGGCTGGGCGTGAAATGACTAGATTGGCTGGGTAAGATTAGTAATAATGAACAATTGCAGAGATAATTTTTTTAAAATGTTATCCTTAATGGTCATGCCCAGTTGAGGTTAAGATTGGGGACAACATTTCCTACTCCAGGAAGCCGGTTTTGATAGAAAATTAAGGACGACTGTTCTCTCTCTGTGAACTTCTCATGTTTCTTGGGGACAGCTGGCTTGTGCCTTACACTAGAGGCGCAGCTCTCAGGCTCTTTGCTCCAGAGACACTGTATTGGATAAGCTGGGAAAGGCCGAGTCATGGCAGTCTTTTTTTGATTCATAAAAATGAAATTAACGTGCAGAATTTCCTCATTTGAACCTTGCCCTTCGTGTTTTTTCTTAGGTCTTTGATACTGGCAGCCTAGCAAAACAGTTGAACAGAGATGAGTCTGATTTTAATACAAAAAAATGAGAAGTTAACTTGTGGTTGTTGTAGGTGCAGTTGTAAATATGATCATATTGACTAGTAGTAATATTGTTCTTAGTTCATAGAATGAATTAAATATTTCAATATTTCATGCTGTAATATGAAGGGCATAGTATAGAATAAAAAACACCATGAGATAAAAAGCATCATAAATTTAAGATTAACTGAAGAAATTTGATAACTTAGTATCTTTCCTAGACCTGTAACCATCATTCGTATTTCTTCCTCTTTTTCTCCCTTCTTTCCTTCTGTGACAAGTTAAGGTCTTCAAAGCCAAGATAGAAGTTGTAAACTGCTATGACTGGTCCGTTTTCTTGAGAATGCTAACATTCTTCCTACTTTTTAATTTTTTTTATTTTTTTGAGTTGGAGTCTCACTGGAGATTTTTTTTATTTTTTTGAGTTGTAGCCCAGACTGGAGTGCAGTGGCCACTCCCGGCCACCACAGCCTCGACCTGCTAGGCTCTGGCGATCCTTCCGCCTCAGCCTTCCAAGTAGCTGGAACTACAGGCGCGTGTTACCACACTCGGCTAATTTTTTTTTTTGATTTATTGTAGAGACGAGGTCTCGCCACGTTGCCTGGGCGGGTCTCGAACCCGTGGGCTCAAGCAATCCACTCACCTCAGCCTCCCAAAGCGCGGGATTACAGGCTGAGCCACCGAGCCCAGCTCATTCTTCTTACTTAATGATTTCACTTTTACAGTTCATCGCATGGGAGAGTTCCTATTTCTTTAGATTTCTTCCCTCCCTTCCTACCTCCCTCCCTTCCTTTCTGCCTCCCTGCCTCCCTCCCTCCCTTCTTTCCTTTCCTCCTTTCCTTCCACTTTATTGAGATATGATTGACATATAAAAAACTACATTTCGAATGTATACTATTAGATGGATATGGGGATAAGTTATGTACCCATCAAACCATCGAGACCACAGACATACTCATTACCTCCCAGTTTCCTTTAGGAGGTTTCTGCTTGTTATTTACAGAAAAATCCTGTTTACTTCTTTGATGCAGAGTCTCTTTGACCATCATGGCATTCTTGTACTCCTCAACCTCTTGTCCATGGTTTTGATTTCTCCCTGTTGCCACAGTGGCTTTCATCCCATCTTAAGAACTCTTCATCTTTCCCCTTTTCAGAATAAGACAAAGGAAATCTTCCAAATTCTTCCCCCACTTGCAGGGAGGCAGCATGCATTTGGCATGCATATAATAAACACCTTCCTCAGATAAAAAGGCCAACTTTACACTGGCTTTGTCAGTCGCTCCTGTAAAAACTCAGGGCCCACACTTCCTGGGTCTATGGAATGTACTAATGGAATCCTTTTGTAGTATCCAAGAGAAACTTCCTTAAAATTCTAGTAGCAAACAACTGTCTTGACTTGCCTATATTAGTGAAGTCTGTTGAGTTGGGGGTCCTACAAAACCCTTCCCTTATCCCCATGTTCCTGCCTCCTACTGAAACATGATAAAAGCATGCATACTGCTATTAATGTTTTATGTTGATGAGACTTCTTTTAGGTTATTTTACTTACACTAAATCATGATTTTAGGAACTTCATTTTAGTTTGTATAAAAATAGGAGATGTAATAATAGTCTGGGATTTTGATCCTGGTTTCCTTTTTTAAAACTTTAGTTTTACTGCTCGGATTACAGAATTAATGCAAGTACTGAAGGATTTAAATCACGGCAAGTACGAGCGCACGATGGTCTCAACCCAGGAGAAGGGTAAATATGACACGTACCACATATTTCACAGTTGAGGTCACAGTTTTAAGTTTTTGCTGCCATAGTATGCTGCTTTAATATTATTTTCCATTTAAGGTGTTGAAGGTGTACAAGTCATTCCCTTGATACCTGGTGCGGGAGAAGTCATTAATGCAGATAACATTATAAAGTACGTACAGAAAAAGGTGCTTTAGCACCCTAAACATTTGTTCAACTTCATAGTAGCCATTTCTTTCAATTTATAATTGCTTAGTGTTTAATTTAAAATTACTCTCCTTTTTAAAAAACAGCTTTGAGGTATCATTGATGTAAAAGTTGTATATATTTAAAGTGTACAACTTGATGTTTTGATATATGTATACATTGTGGAATGATGACCGCATTTCTAATTATCTGTTGCCTCTACATAGTTACCATTTTTGGGGGTGTTTAGTAAGAATTTAATTTACATCTATCTTAGCACATTTCAGGTATACAGTACAGTATATTTGTCTCTTGTCTCTATGCTGTATAGTAAATCTACAGAACGTATTCTTCTTGTATCAATGAAACTTTGTACCCTTTGACCAAATCAACCTGTTTCCCCCTACCCCAGCCCTTGGCAGTCACCCTTCTACTCTCTGTTTCTATGAGTTTGACTATTGTAAATTACATGTACTAGTAAGGTCATCAGTGTTTCTCCTTTTGTGTCTTGCTTATTTTGCTTATCATAATGTCCTCCAGCTCCGTACATGTTGAAAATAGCAGAATTTCAGGGTTTTTTTAACGACTGAATAATATTTGTGTGTGTGTATACACACATACTTTATTTTCTTTATCTTTTCATCAGCTGAAGGACATTTAGATTGTTCTCATATATAAGCTATTGTGAATAATGCTGCAGTGAGCATGGGAGTGTGAATGTCTCTTTGACAAACTGATTTTATCTCCTTTGGATATGTACCCAGAAGTGGGATTGCTGGATCATGTGGAGGTTCTACTTTTAAATTTTTTATAGGAACCTCCATACTTTTTTTTGTAATAGCTGTACTATTTATATTGTTACCAACAATGTACAGTGTTCCCTTTTCTCCACATTTTTGCCATCATTTATCTTTTGTCTTTTTGCTAGTAACCATCCTAACAGGTGTAAGATGATAGCTCATTATAGTTTTGATTTGCATTTTCCTGATGATTAGCGATGTCCTGCACCTTTTAATATGCCTGTTGGCTATCTGAATTTCTTCTTCTTTTTTTTTTTTTTGAGTTGGAGTCTCACTGTGTCACCCAGGCTGGAATGCCATGGCATGCTTACCGCCACCCCAGCGTTGACCTGCTGGGCTCCAGTGATCCTTCTGCCTCAGCCTTCTAAGTACCTGGAAACTACAGGCGCACACTACTTCACCCGGCTAATTTTTGAATTTCTTCTTTTAAGAAGCATTTTATTTAGATCCTTTGCCCAATTTTTAATCAGACTATTTGTATTTTTGGTATTGATTTGTATTAGTTCCATTTTTAATTATTTATTTATTAATTATTTATTAATTTCCTCTGTAGGTTTGATCATGTTCCTTTAGCTACACCAAATGGAGATGTTTTGATCCGAGACCTTAATTTCGAAGTAAGTTTTTGAATGATCATATAAAAGTTTTTGAATGATCATATAAAAGTTTTTGAATGATCATATAAAAGTTCACATTCTTCAAAATGTGAACTGAAAAACTATTGCATGAAGATTAATTTTAAGGCTTGACTTAGTCTCTAAATCCACAAAATCATTTTAAAAAATAAGTCTTTGAATCACTTAGAAATCTATTTTTCTTAACTGTGACAGGGCTTTAAAATTTTAAATACCAAACAATTTTTTGCAAATAACATCCAAATCAGGGAATCCATGGAAGACATAGTTAATTTGAAATCTCCAGTGTAGGGTGAATATTTAGAAATGCAGATATAAAATCTCTTTATAAAATAAAGCTAATGACTTAGTTAGTATTATTTTGTGACCTTTAAAAACAAAATACAGACATTTTTATTGCTGATGAAAACAGTGGAAGAGCAGCACAATAGCTATAATAGTCGCTCACCCCAAACAAGTAAAATCTCATGTCAAGTGAATACTGATGTTGCTATTAATGAAATGTAATACGGTAGACCAAACTGAAAAGAAAAAAGAGGAGTGTTTCTGTAATCTGCGATTACTCTTTAGGTTATGTGTATGTTGTAACTTTTATGAATGATTCAGATCTGGAAATCTTGAAAATGAGTAACAAATTTCTATCCTGTAGGCTGTCTTCCCAGCTCCAGATACCCTTTCTCTAGATCAGCTTTGTCTAGTGGAACTTTCTACGATGATGGAAATGGTCTATATTTGCACTAATAACCATGTGTGGCTATTGAGCACTTGAAATGTGACTAGTACAGCTACAGCTGAATAACTGAATTTTACATTTTACTTTATTTTATTTTTATTTTATTTTTTGAGTTGGAGTCTCGCTGTGTCGCCCAGGCGATCCTTCCTCCTCAGCCTTCTAAGTGCCTGGAAACTACAAGCGCTGGGCTCCAGCGATCCTGTGATACTTGGAGCCATTTAATATTACAAACTGCTGGGCTTAGGTGATCCTTCCACCTCAGCCTTCCAAGTATCTGGAACTACAGGGGTGTGCTATCACACCCAGCTTATTTTTTTATTTATTGTAGAGACGAGTCCTCACCAAGTTGCCCAGGCTGATCTTGAGCCCCTGGGCTCAGGCAGTCCTTTCGCCTTGACCTCCCAAAGTGCTAAGATTACAGGCTGAGCCACCACGCCTGGCCCTTAATTTTAATTAATATGATTTTAAGTTAAATAGCTACACTTGACTTGAGGCTATGGTATTGGACGACACAGCTCTAGAATTCTTCTCTACATGCTTATGTATATAATACGCCTTCTGTAATTTGTGTTTTATGTGGAAAATTGTTTTCAGCTGCTTTCATTGAAAGAATATTATCTGATAGTTTATAAAATGAAGAGAATAATTATTGGATTTTAAGTTTTTAAGTTGTTATAGTCTTCAGTAAGTCCTCAAGTTTCTGCTCTTAGTAATTTCTGTTTATCAAATACATCTTTACTTTCTTCTTGAGGAACTATAAAAATGAAAATTGTTGGTTTCCAAAGTACTTTAAACTTATTCAACAAGGAGTATTGTATCATTATTATGTTTATTGTAAAGCCAGGAAATACAGGAAATGTAAATACAGTTTGTAATAAAATGGCTCCAAGTATCACAGAAGCATTTTCTCATATAGCTCAAGGTACTCAGTCACTTGAGTACTCCTTTGGCAAAGTCACTAGTCAGACTTGACTTTCAGCAGCCCCTCTGTTGCCACTGTCCTAGGGACATGAGACTTCTCCACCGAAGAATGCCTCTTGACCCGTTCTCCCACTTTTCTTCACTTCTGTCTTTATGCAGAAATAAATCTGCCAACAGTGTAGGTGCACATGTGACTTAAGCATAGTGAGAAGGGATTTGAGATCTGCATGTACAGATTTGCGGAATAGATGGATCATGATACTACTTACCATAATATTACTTTGTCATAAGGTTACCATATAAAGCTGTCACTTTACTTTTAGCCCAAAGCCTTTTCTTTTAATGCCCTTATGTTTGGATGTAATATATGGGGGAAATTATCTTTTGGAAGAAGGACCCCTTGTAGTACACTCGGGGTGTATTTCTCTAGATCAGATGGTCAACCGAAGTTTTGAGAAGGTTTGTCATAATTTGTAGAAGAAATGTCCTAAGTTGTGGCATACAGGTGACTGGTTCTTTCACCACAACAACACACCTACCCACACTGCACTGAGTATTGAGCAGTTTTTGACCAAAAATAGCATGACCCCCATGCCTCACACTCCCTATTCACCTGATCCTGCCCCAAGCAACTTTTTTTTGTTTCCCTGATGAAAAAATCCTCAAAGGGAAATGTTTTGCGGATGTGGAGGAGGTGAAACAAAAAAATGCCAGGAGCACTAAAAGGTGTTAAAATTGACAAGTTCAAAAGCAGTGGAAAAAATGTCTTGATAGGTGTATTTTGTCAAACAGAGAGTACTTTGAAGGTGACAGAAGTTTAAATATGTAAGACTAAATAAATCCTTAATAAATCCTGGGATTTTTGTGTCCCCCTCATACTTCTGGCCTGTTCCTATAACTTCACTTTTATAGTCTTAAAGATGTTCTTAATTTTTTTTCTCTTATTTGGGTTTCATTTGGAAAGTTTTACTGAATCCGCAGTTATGCTCCTACTTGTTGAAGTTTTTTGCTCTGTAACAATGTTCCTTAGTACCCAGTGTCTGTCCTGCGATTGTTATTTTCTCTGCTGGGGGCTATTTCTCTGACTTCTGCCCTTTTGGTTCACTGCTATGAATTACTCTTCTATCTCTTTCTGACTTAGGTATTCTAAATTAGATTTAGCTTCATTCTGTTTTTCCATTGCTTTTCTGAACATAGGTAACCTTTCTATAGTCAGCAGCAAACATCCTTCTGTTGCTTTTCACCTCTAGTTATTTCCTACCCATCTGTCTTACTTCAAAATAAGGATTTCTTTTTTCTTGGAAAGAGGCATAAAAAACTTGAGACTTGGTCCCCCAGAAATAAATGTTTTCTATTTTATGATTCGTTTGCCTTTTGGGTTATATTATAACCAGGTAACAAAATCTTTGGGATAAGAGGTTTTATAATTTTTTCTTTATAAACTCCCTGGGATAGTATATTTATCTATTTAGATATTATTCTGTGAGATGTGTCACTGAAGAGACCCTGAGAGATAACAACTTGCAGATTATAATGTGAGGATTAAAATAGTTCTTTGTAACTTACCCAAATTTTTTTTTTTCATTAATCAGTATTTTTTATTATGGTTTTGTGGGGTACAGTTAAGGGTTAGGTGTACTTACCCAGATTTTTACCTTTTTAGTAAGACATGTTTTTAGTGTTTAAAGAAGCCAGAAAATCCTTATAAACAGCATACTTTTATATAATCTCTTTTACTTAAATCATGTTTATATGTAGAATTTTTTGATGATTTATGATAAATGTATAGGCAGTAGAGTTTATCAGAGAGTGTTATTCCAGGGAAATATTTTTTGTTAAAAATTGGATAGGATAGTTCAAGGCATTCATTGATTCAATAAAGCATTCTAAGAGCCCCAATAATGCAATGTTATTAAAAACTTAATTTTCAGTAAATGTTATCCTTGGTTTTTAGTCCTAATTTAACCTCCTCAAAATATATGCTTATAAATTTTTAATATGGAAACATTATCACTGACTTACCATGACTGATGTCATAATTGGAGGTTTGTCCAACACCTCCAAAAACCATGGGGTAAAGAAAAAATGCTGAGTTGAGACGTTTGAGCATAAAGGAAGCCTAAGGATTTCAGTAAGTCTGGTTATTGTTTATATACATTATTACAAAACCTGGTTTTGGGGTTTCCTGGCATATTGCAGCAAATAGTGTGGAGGAGTATTGATGGAGACAGAAATAGTGATACCATTGTAAACCACAAAGAGTAGTCAGGGGCAAAAAATACGAGGGAGAACCCAAACCCCCCCCAGAATTATCTTTTGGAGAGTGGGCCCCTTTGTTACACTCAGAATTTGTTCCTCTGGATCAAATGCTCAACCAAAGCTTTTATCTGGAAGTTTTGAGAAGGTTGCATTAGGATTTGCAGAAAAAACATCTTGAGTTGTAGCAAATACGTGACTCATTCTTCTACCATGACAACACACCTGCCCACACCACACTGAGCATCCAGCAGTTTTTGATCAAAAACAGCATGACCCCTGTGCCTCATCCTCCCTACTCACCTGATCTTACCCCAACTAGCTTTTTTTTGTTTGTTTCCCTGGATGAAAAAATTCCTCAAAGGGAAACATTTTGCCAATGTGGAAGAGGTGTAACAAGAAATGGCAGAAGCACTAACAGGCATCAAAATTGATGAGTTCAAAAACTGTTTTGAGCAGAGGAAAAGGCATCTTGATTAGGTGTGTTGCATCAAGCAGAGAAGCCTTTGAAGGAGACAGAAGTTTAAACAGTAAGGATAAATACACAATTTTTTATAATTTCTGGGTTTTGGGAAGGATCTCTCCTCGTGTATATATGGCAGATATATACTTAAATAGATAAATAAAGCATAGTAGCAGAGAACTCTGAACTTTAGGACCTTCTAAGGGCATCGCTGTTATCGCAGATTGCAGTTATTTTATATAATCTTGCTTTATGAGGAATATTCAGTGTATTCAATTTTATAGGATAAGGAAATATGTAATTGCTTAGAAAGAAGTCTATTAAAATGATTCCTTAAAATCTCAGAAGAAGCAATAGTTTATCTGGTAGTCTTTTAGAATAGCTCATTCTCTTACAAGGATGTAAGGGAATAAAATACCACAATTTTTTATAATTTCTGGGTTTTGGGAAGGATCTCTCCTCGTGTGTATATGGCAGATATATATACTTAAATAAATAAAGCATTGTGGTATTTTATTATAGTCTGGTTCATTTTTCTTTTCAAATTTTTAAAAATTGTGGTAAAAATATACATAAAATTTGCTATCTTGACAATTAAGTGTACAATTTGATGGCATTAAGTACATTTACAGTGTTGTGCAACCATCACCACTGTTCATTTCCAGAACTTAAAAAATTTTTTTTAAATTATAAAGATGTGGGGTACAATTCAGGTTTAGGTATACAAACATTGATTATGCAGGTACCCTTGTTGATGAGGTATGCCCCTCCCTCCCCTAGCGGTTTCTCTCAACTGCCAATCCCAGCCCCCCTCCCCTGAAAGTTTCCCACTACTGCCGATCCCTTTCTTATAGTATTATAATAATTGTTCAGGGTCCACTTGTGTGTGAAAACATATGGTATTCTGTTCTTTGTTTCTGTGATAGATCACTGAGTGTGATCGACTCTAAATCCAAGTTGCTGAGAAGTCCGGATGGTTGTCCTTCTCATTTCTAGAACCTTTTAATCATCCCACATAGAAACTCTGTAATTTCTTCCTCCCTCTCCCTGGCAGCCTTTAATTCTTTCTGTCTCTTATGAGTTTGACTGCTCTAGGTAACTCATAGATGTGAAGTCATACATATTTGCCCTTTTGTGTCTGGTGTATTTCACTTAGCATGATGTTTTCAGCCTCATCCATATTGTAGCATGTGTCAAAACTTCACTCCTTTTAAAGACTGAACACTCTTCAATTGCATGTATGTGCCACCTTTTGTTGATATGTTCATCCTCTTGGTTTGCTTCTACCTTCTGACTGTTGTGAAGAACGCTGGTGGCTGTCCATTTCATAACAGTCAAGGCCAGAGTTCCTTCAGTGGCTTGGGTTTGTAGGGTTTACCTGCTGTTACCCTACCTCTACCTGGTACATCTTTGATCTCCTACTATCCTTCCCTCATCTTTCTCCAGCCAAATCAGCCTCCTTGCTGTTTTTCGAATAGGACAGCTAGAGTTCTGCTTCAGTGTCTTCACACCAGCTTTTTGTGGGGGATGCAGGACTGGAACAGGCTTTCTAATTCACTTCTTTCAAAATTGTGCCCAGTTGTCCTTTTCAATGAGATCTACTTTGACCACCTTAAAAATGTACCTTCCGGCGGAGCGCAGTGTGACTCAAGCCTGTAATCCTGGCACTTTGGGAGGCCGAGGTGAGCAGAGTGCCTGAGCCCATGGGTTTCAGAACAGCCAGGGCAACTTGGCAAGATCTCATTTCTACAATAAATAAAAAAAGTTAGCCAGGAGCGGTAGCGCACGCCTGTAGTTCTGGCTACTTGGAAGACTGAGGCAGATGGATCACCTGAGCCCAACAGGTTGAACTGGGGTGGCCATGAGCATGCCACTACACTCCAGCCTGGGCAAGAGAGTGAGACTTCAACTAAAAAAAAGCAGAAAAACACCTTTCTACTCACACTCCTAAGCTTCCTTGCCCTGTTCTGGTTTTTCCTCCAAAGCATGTATTTTCTAACATCCCATTTAATTGACTTACTTATTATGCATATTCTTTATTATTGTATGTCTCTTCCCACTAGAATGTAAACCAGTAAGGGCAGAGTTTTTTTGTTTCTTTTATTCATGAATGTAGCTTGGTTTCCTAAAACAGAGCGTGGCATAGGGCATTCACTCAATAATCACTGAATTAAGTAATAGGAACCAAAGACTCACCAGTTTAAAAAGTTTACAGGTTACACAGTTAGGTTAACTCTTACCTCTCTGATGTCTTCTTTCCTATTGTGTTTCATTGGGTTTGATGTTGTAAGCTAGAATTATATCTGAGATTTTCTGATTCTTTTTTGTTTTGTTTTTTTGAGTTGGAGTCTTACTCTGGTGCCCAGCCTGGAGTGCAGTGGCATGCTCATGGCCACTGCAGCCTTGACCTGCTGGCCTCAGGTGATCCTTCTGCCTCAGCCTTCCAAGTAGCTGGAACTACAGGCGTGCACTACCATGCCCAGCTAATTTTTTTATTTTTTTTATTTATTATAGAAATGAGGTCTCACCAAGTTGCTCAGGCTGGTCTCGAATCCCTAGACTCAGACAGTCCTCTCATCTCAGCCTCCTAAAGTACTGGGATTTCAGGCTTGAGACACCGTGGTGCCCAGCCTGATTTTCTGATTCTTTACAGAGTTGATTAGACACTTACAAGGTTTCTCTTTACATTTTCTCATGTATTTTTATGTTGTTGCAAATGATTCAGTGCTATTATAAATACTTAGAGTGCACATATATGCTCCAATCCAACACTTCTAAGTATCTAACCTTTGGAAGCATTTCCTGCTAGTGCATAGGTTTGACTGCTGACTTTGAGGCTCATTGCAATATTATCTAAAAGAGCAAACCAAAATGCAGACGACCTAAATATTTAACCACAGGAAAGTGTTTAAATAAAATATGATGTGTCCTTACTATGGAAGATATTCAGGCATTATAGGAATGGGGGAAATCTGAATATATGTGATATATTGTTTATTGTTAAATAACAAGATATAGAACAGTCTATTGTATAATTCCTTTTTTTTTTTTTTAAAAGAGACTTTGTATACACACACATGTATTTCTTGTTTTCAAGAATTCATTTAAGCCAGGCTCGGTGGCTCAGCCTGTAATCCCAGCACTTTGGGAGGCTGAGGTGAGTGGATTGCCTGAGCCCGCGGGTTCAAGACCCGCCTGGGCAACTTGGCAAGACCTCATCTCTACAATAAATTTTAAAAAATCAGCCGGGCATGGTAGTGCGTGCCTGTAATTCCGGCTTCTCGGAAGGCTGAGGTGGAAGGATCGCTGGAGCCCAGCTGGTCGAGGCTGCGGTGGCCGGGAGCGGCCACTGCACTCCAGTCTGGGCGACAGAGTGAGACTTCAACTCCAAAAAAAAAGAATTCATTTAAGCTTTAGCTGTTTGTATCTTGATTAAGTCGATGATATCAATCAATATATAGATACATTTTTTACAAGACAGGATCTCTCTCTGTCTCCCAGGCTGAAGTGTGGTGGTGCAGTCATAGCTCACTGTAACCTCAAACTTTTGGGCTCAAATGAGCCTCCCACCATGACCTCCTGAGTAGCTGGGACCACATGTGCATATCACCTATGCTTGGCTAATTTTTTGTAGAAATAAGGTCTTGCTGTGTTGCCCATGCTGATCTTGAATGCCTAGCTTTAAACGATTATCCTACCTCAGCCTCCTAAAGTGCTGGGATTATAGGTGTGAGCCACGTGCCCAGCAATCATGATTTTTAAATGAAAAAAAAAAACAGTAAAAATTGAAAGTAAACAGAAGCAGACCATTCCTTCACCATACCTCTCCTCTGCTCTACCTAATCCTACATTTACAGACAAATAGAAAGCTTATGATTAGCATAGAGCTATTGACTCTGAGAAAATGTTCATTGAGTGTATAGTCACTTGATTCAATTAATAGACTAATTTTCTTTCAGGTTCGATCTGGCGCCAATGTTTTAATTTGTGGTCCAAATGGCTGTGGAAAGAGTTCACTTTTCCGTGTTCTTGGTGAAGTAAGTACAAGTTGGCCTCAGAATTTTATAATCTTATTCTGCCATACTGTCTACCACTTTGTATGTTTTATAATTGCTCCCCCACCCTTTTTTTTCCTCTTTTTACAGTTATGGCCTCTTTTTGGAGGACGTCTAACTAAACCTGAGAGAGGAAAGTTATTTTATGTTCCTCAGGTAAGACCTCGTTTGAATTATTTTGTAATCTTTAAGATTTTACAAAATCTTTAATTTTAAAGATCTTCTTACTTATTTTTAACAAATGTACTGCCAATGATTTTTGATCTTCTACTATCAGAGACCTTATATGACCCTTGGAACACTTCGGGACCAAGTGATCTATCCTGATGGACGGGAAGATCAGAAAAAGAAGGGGATATCTGACCTGGTAAGGGCATGCTTATTTCCTAGACCTGCTGCAGATGCTCTACTCAGATTCTTTATTTTTTATTTTTATTTTTTTTTGAGTTGGAGTCTCACTCTGTCACCCAGACTGGAGTGCAGTGGCCGCTCCCGGCCAGTGCAGCCTCGACCTGCTGGGCTCTGGCAATCCTTCTGCCTCAGCCTGCTAAATAGCTGGAACTACAGGCATGCGCCACACGCCCGGCTAATTTTTGATTTATTGTAGAGGTGAGGTCTCGCCAAGTTGCCCAGGTGGGTCTCGAACCCGCGGGCTCAGGCAATCCAGTCACCTCAGCCTCCCAAAGAGCTGGGATTACAGGCTGAGCCACGGAGCCCGGCTAGATTCTTTATCTTAATCAGTTAGTATTTTAAATGCCAGGTGGTGTGTCTTAACCTGCAAAGCCTTCCAAAGCCATGAATTAAGCTTTCCAAGTTGAGCTAAAATGGCAACCACTTTCCTTAAGTATGCCTCATTGAGTATTTAGGCTTATCTTTCACTAGCGTTTGTTTTCTGATGCCTCATTAATTGTGCACACTAGTGTGTCACCCGCTTTAAACCGCTAGATGTATTTTGTCAAGGTTAGTGGAGGCGGAGCTGGAAGGCTTTGAACTACCTTGTGCCATTGAGGTGTTCCTTTAAAGTGATGTTGGCAGTGGAATTATAGTGATTCTAATTTATAAAATAAAGCATGATGAAGAATGTTGATTTACATTAAGCTGATTTCACCTTTCCTCGTTTTGCTGAAAGGTACTGAAGGAATACTTAGACAATGTCCAGTTGGGTCATATCTTTGAACGTGAAGGAGGCTGGGACAGTGTTCAGGACTGGATGGACGTACTTAGTGGAGGAGAAAAGCAAAGAATGGCGGTAAGCACACCAGGAGAAGCTGCATGGACACGCAGTTGGTTCCAAAGCCCAGCACTGGGTTAATCAAGATAGTTTTATCTTCTAGCTTTTCATTTAGCAAACGTTTCAGTAGGGATTGGTTTATATATTTATTTTTTAACCAGGAATTTATATTAAAATAATGTAAACTACTGATTGGTTATACATTGTTCTTTATGTCACAAATTCCAGGAGCAAGAAGATAATGGTGAGGCGACTTATCAGGAAACTACAGGGAAGAAAAGAAAGAACCAAAGTATCTTTAAAAATTGCCCTTGTGCCCGAGTGCTATGACATTGTGGAAGTCCCATACCCTTGTCTCTTGGCCTAATACATTTTCCATACCTCACAGAGCTCAGACTGCTCTGAGCTGTTGTTCTTATCTCATTTCCGCCTTTCAGTAAAAGTCTTTCTTTCTGAAAGCATTGATGATCAACATTTTAGACGTAAATTTGTCTAACCTGAGTGGGAAGACTCATGTCAAAGGAATCTCATCCCACATCAGAGGGAAAGGAGAGAGAACTGTCGCTTGAGACCCTCGTGATTGGCAGCACAGGGACAGAGCTGCAGGATCTCAGCCATCACTTACAGGAGTCTCAGCTTGTTAGATCATTTTTAAGCATCTAGCTATTGTGATTAGTTTTTCATTGTTGACTTTAGAGATCTAGAAATGTGAAGCATAATCACTTTAAGAGTAAAAAATATGATGCAAATAAGGACAGTAATTAACAGAACAATTTTAATTCCAGATCTGAAAAATGTTCCTATTCCTGAAGCTAGCCAAATAAGTATGCCTACTTATCCTGGTCTGAAGAACAAGGTGTTAAAGGTCTCCAGTGATGAATATATCCATTCAGGAGGGGCTGCCTGATACAGTCCCTTCCGTTGTGGCTAGAAGGAGTCCTTTCATTGATTGCGTTTTCCCGTAAACACAATCTGAGGTTCAAGACCATGTTCTTTGATGTCTTCATCTCCTGGGAGCTCGCTGTTGAAAGAATCCTTAGCCGGGTTTGGTGGCTCAGCCTGTAATCCCGCGCCTTTGGGAGGCTGAGGTGAGTGGATTGCCTGAACCCACGGGTTCGAGACCCGCCTGGGCAGCGAGACCTCATCTCTACGATAAATCAAAAAATCAGCCGGGCTTGGTAGTGCATGCCTGTAATTCCAGCTACTCGGAAGGCTGAGGTGGAAGGTTCGCCGGAGCCCAGCAGGTCGAGGCTGTGGTGGCCGGGAGCAGCCACTGCACTCCAGTCTGGGCGACAGAGTGAGACTCCAACTCAAAAAAAAAAAAAAGAAAAGAAAGAATCCTTAATTAATTTAGACTTTCTAGTGAGGAGCTAGTAGGGCCTTGGCAGTAATGAAAAGTATCACCTTTCAGGAGAGCTGATTGGTAGCCCCTTCATCCAAGTGCATGGGCCCTCCCACTGTTATTTCAAAGAAAGAAAAGGAAGAAAACTGGTGTTTTCCAAACGGAAAAGAATATAAGCAGATGGAGGAGCCTTAGGGGATTCGTTTAAATGTTTAACTTATTTGTAAATTGGGAATTCTGAAAAATTCATAAGTATACTGCCAGCACCTATGAAAGGAAAACCTGCAAATCCAATTATATACCATCAATCCATTTTGCTACAAGTTGGGAGAAATTTTGCCGCTCATTAGTCCTAGGGTCTATGGTAATCCTGTTTGAGACCTAAAGTTTCAGTCTCTTCCCTTGGACCACTCTTGTGTCTCACTCAGGCTGTTCTCCCTGAAACAACTGAAGGTACTAGAAATGATCTACTCTAATTTTATCATCATTTTGTTCTTTATTCTGTCCTTGCTCTTTCTTGCCACAATTGTATGTATCTTTGTTTCAAGGCTCAGTATCTATTACTTCAAAGTTACTTAGAAATTTTAAATTTACCTACTACAAAGAAGCATTTGAAAGAAACTATTTTAATTTTTATGACAACTAAATTTATCCCAAACCACGAATAGACACTGTACACGACATATTAAGAATGATACTTTGTTAGCTGGACATGGTAGCACATGCCTGCGTTCTGGCTACTTGGAAGGCAAGAGTCATTTTTTAACTATACATACCATAGTACAGGTAGATCCAAAGGATTTTTTCCCCCTAAGCCTTATGGAAATTAGAGAAAACTATAGCCAAGGAAAGAAAGCAAAATATATGACTCATGGCAGAATTTCTTCCCTATGTCTTCAGATTTTATAGGCTACCTTTTCTCCTCTCTCTCTGCTGCCCGAATCTGGATATTCTACCTTTTTGTTGTTTCCTAGTCCCTGGTTCTGCAGGTTGTTTTTCCTAAAATCTTACACACTCTATATGAAGTTAATATTATCTTCATATTGTGAGTTGCCTGGCTAGTGCTGTAACATGAAATTAATCTAGTGTGAAGAATGAGTCATAAACAAAAAGAGATATTAGCTATACCTAAAATGGAAATCAGACTGAAGGAGTGGAAATTTGAAATGATTGGGCATTTCTAGAGTCAACTTAGAAGATGACTAGAAATAACTACAAGTCAAGAAAACAAATTTAAATTTCTATACCATGACTTCAAAAGATTGGAAGGATAGGTTCACAAATGGACACAATGGAATTCTGTGTATGTGTAGTATAAGGTATAGAGGGAGTCATTTTTATTTGATGATTAGAAATTCAAGGTTGTGTCTAGAGCAGTGGGAAGATATCCCACATTTTTTAAGAGTAAAGGGGACGGGGGATAATCCCAAAATGCCCAGAGGTTCCAGAATAGAGTTGTTTGGGAAATGGTTCACCCATGACACCAGCACATGCAGCTGTAGCATGGCCAGCTGATGGCGGGGTGTGTTCTATGTAAGCCAATGTCTGGAGAATCGATTGTGACCTGTAAAAGAGCCTCTTGCTTTGTTTTAGAGGGGAGGAAAGAGAAGGCTGATGCAGCAGATATTAACATTGGTGAAGTTAGGTAAAGATTATATATATGTTCATTTTACTGTCCTTTCATTTTTTTCTTAGGATTGATCATTGTCAAAGTAAAAAGTTGGGGGAAAGTAGATGTCAATTTTTAGGAAGGACAGACTTGAAAGGCCTAAACCACTTAAAACAATGAAAACAATGAATCTGTGAGAGTGAAGGTATAAAACGAATGAACCAGAGGAACTTGTGGGTAAGAAAGATCAGGATTTGAATCTGGGACATGAGAGAGAATAATATTACTGAATGAAGGGCAGTCCAGTGAATACATTTTTAAAAGTCCCGTGAAAAAGGTCAGCGCAAAATTCAAGTGGTATAATTCCCACCGCGTCAGCTGAGAATCTGCCCTGTGCAAGGCCCTGTGCTGGAGCTGGCTCTTACAGCCTAAGTGGGAGTTCCGACAGTCTCAGCCAACCGCACCCCTAGGCATCTGGCAGTTGTCGTTACAATGGTAGCTACTTGAGATTATGATGAGGGGGAGAGTGTTGAGTAGCAGATATGCTTCATCCCCTGACAGCCCTGGGACGGAAGGATGGCCAGGAGAGACTGGAAAGCTGCAGCAGGGAGCAGAGAACAAAGGCGCAGGTGCAGGGCTTTGATCCAGCGCGTCTGTAACGTTAAGTGCAGGTGGATTTGTCAGGTCTCTCTCATTGCCCTTGAAGTCTCAAGGGACATTTCCCTTCCTTTGTCGACCCATTTGACCCTGGCTCTCATCAGCCGAGATTGCTCCAGCTGCCGTCCTATGTTGAGATGTCTTATGTCTCTGGCCAGAAGTTGTCTTTCCCACTCCAATATTCTTGCTCTTCCTATTTAGTAATGAGTTTTCTTATCTTCAGTTATGAAAAAGTATATGTGATGTGAAAAGTTGGCCAGACCCCTACAAGAGACACCACTGTTATTAATTCTTTAGTGTGGTTTTTAAATCTATTTTTGTAATTCTTCTTTTACCTTAAATTGACAACCACACCCCTTCTTCAAACTCTCTGTGATCTCTAGAATATTGATCCTACCCTTTTCTTACAACTGACCAGGTCCTTTCTGACTCTGCCTCTTTCCTGTCCAGTACAGACAACAGAGTCCGGGGCCTGGTGCATGGGAGATGGGATATGTTCATTAAGAAATAAACACTGATTCCTTCCCCTTAACTTCCTTTTCCACATATCGTTTCATCATATTACCTAAATCCCAACCCAAGAATAATTGTTTACCTTGACATTTCTCAACCCAGACTTCTGAGCACAGCTGAAAAAAATCAGAAAATGACATATGGGTTGGTGCCAGCACACTCTCATGCCTTATGGTCTTTTTTTTTGAGTTGGAGTCTCACTCTATAGCCCAGGCTGGAGTACAGTGTCACACTCAAGGCCACCCCTGCGTTGGCCTGCTGGGCTCTGGTGATCCTTCCACCTCAGCCTTCCAAGTACCTGGAACTACAGGCGTGTGCTACCGTGCCTGGCTAATTTTGTTGTTGTTGTTTGTTTTTGTTTGAGTTGGAGTCTTACTCTGTAGCCCAGACTGGAGTGCAGTGGCCATTCCCGGCCACTGCAGCCTTGACCTGCTGAGCTCCGGCAATTCTTCCGCCTCAGCCTTCCAAGTAGCTGGAACTACAGGCGCGCGCTACCACGCCTGGCTAATTTTTGGATTTATTGTAGAGATGAGGTCTCGCCAAATTGCCCAGGCAGGTCTCGAACCTGCGAGCTCAGGCAATCCACTCACCTCAGCCTCCCAAAGTGCGGGATTACAGGATGAGCCACCGAGCCCGGCTAATTTTTTAATTTATTGTAGGGACGATGTCTTACCAAGTTGCTGAGGCTGGTCTCAAACCCGCGGGCTTAGGAAGCCCACTCACCTTGGCCTCCCAAAGTGCTGGGATTACAGGCTGAGCCACCGAGCCCAGCTGCCTTATGGTCTTAAAGAGGCTCACAGCATGGTTTGGCAGTCATCTTACTTATATTTACCCCTTCCTCTTTTTGTGATAATTTTAAAACTCTCAATCTTGGGTTTTCCACCCCATTACTTACCCTCCACACTTGGCGGGATAACTTGCCTTCTTCTTAAAGAAGAAAGAGAGACTGCTATTTCAGTGACATGACAGCTCATTTTTATTCAGTGCATGGTAGTTGGTGTACAGTATGTGAGGCACTTTGCAGGTGACCCCATTTAGTCCTCAAAACAGGCCCGTGAGATAAGAACTCGCAATGTCCCGTTTTACAGAGGAAATTGACCCTTAATACAGTTAAGCTGGCCAAGCAAAGACAGCTAATAAATGTGAAAGTGGGTGGTACGGGGAGGTGCTTTTCACACTCAGGCAGTGGTGCGCTGCCAGTGTCCATATACTTACCCCTTGATGCCTTTTTTGTGTTGAGGCATCAAGCAGCTGACAGCCTGTGGGAGAAAGACATGATGAGAAGGGTCCACATGATGGGCAAGTGTGCCGATGAAGCTGTATGGCGTCCCCTGGGAGCCACGTCTTTCCTGACCTCCCCCTTTTGCTGTCTGTGAGGGTATATCATCCTTGTTCCTGAGAAAGGCTGATGGACCAGGCAGGCACAGTGGCTCACGCCTGTAATCCCAGCACTTTGGGAGACTGAGGCGAGAGGATCACTTGAGGCCAGGAGTTTGAGATCAGCCTGGATAACATAGTGAGACCTCATCTCTACAAAAAATCAGAAAATTAGCTGGGCACGGTGGCATGTACCTTTAGTCCCAGCTACTTGGAGGCTGAAACAGAAGGATTGCCTGAGCCCAGGAGGTTGAGGCTATGGTGAGCTGTGATCGTGCCATTCCCCTCCAGTCTGGGTGACAGAGCAAGACCCTGATTCAAAAAAAATGAAAAATAAGGAGCAAGGCCAGTGCCTCTCCCAGTGTTTCATGGGCCCCCTGTCCTCTGACTATCCACCCCTCTCCTTCAGTTATACCTCCTCCCCCAATGGCACCTCCATTTACTCTCTTTTGGTCTTTCTCTTCCCAGAAAATGTTTTCGGGTCTCTCTGATCTAACCTCCATAGCCTGCATCTCTTATTTCTGCACAGTTGACTTCTTCGTGGTCTGCACTTGTTCCTCCCCTTTCTTATTTCATTCAAATATACGTAAACCTCTAGAAGCTGCGTATTTAATCATTTATTGTTAACTATTTGACTTTTCCCCATATGTAAGTGTTAAATATACAGGCTCTGCTTTTGTGGATCTTAAAATTCACAATGCATGAAGTGCTTCAGAGATGTTACAGGAAGGAACTACTTGGATTGTGACTAGGGATTGGGGTAGATTTGTCTGAGAAGGTGACATTAAGTAGAAATGTGAAAACTCTAAGGAACAGAGAAGGCATTTGAGACATAGAAAGCATGACACATGCTAAGTCTCTGAGGCCTGAGACCCGTTGTCCCTAGCGGTTGAGAGGAGGCGGTGTTGGCTGGATGTTGAGGTTAGAGTGTGAGGAGGAATACAGTTGTGCAGGGCCTTGTAACAAGACCATGGAAAGGAATTTGAGTTTTATTTTAAGTGAATTGGGAAGTTGTTGAAGGGTTTTAAGCCAAAGAATAAAGTTCTCTGGTTTACATGTCTGGAAGATTCTCTCTGGTTACATGGAGATGTCTTAGAGAGGAGCAGAAGAGGAGGGAGGAAGCTGTCTGTAGTCATCCAGACAGGAAGTGAGTGAGCTCTGGGCTAAGGGCAAGTCTGTGGAGAGGAGGACAGGTGAGAAGGTAAGTGGACTATCATTTCACACAACTGTCTTAAATGGACTTTTAGGCCATCCTGAAGATGGGGATGGCAGGGACGGTGGGAGGAGGAGAAGGAAGAAGCAAGGCGACCTCCTGTTCTGGCTTCAATGTCTTGTTCAAATGTTCAAGATTAGGAAGGAATGGATTTTAGGGAAAACCTAGAAAATACATAAGCTATCCAAGGAAAAAGTCAGATGGGAATGTTCATATATCTGGAAATTGGAAAAGTATGAGTGAGAGATGCATGTTGGGAGTTCACAGAATATAGTAACATTTGAAATCTTAAGACTAGATGAGCTCACCCTGAGACAACTTAGGAAGAGAGAAAGAACCTGAGATTATCTCTGAGGAGTTCCTGCATTTATGACCAAGCAAAGGAGAAATTGCTGGGAAGGAAACAGAAGACATCCTAAGACGTGGAGGGAAACTTGGGAGCATGGGTTTACCGTCACGTTCTCAAGGAGGGAGTGGTCACCTTACTTGCAGGAAGATACCTTGGGTGACGATAGAAAAGCATCCGTCAGTCTTGCAACATGAAGATCCTTGTTGGGGACAGATGGCAAACATTGGCATATCTGTTAGACAAAGGATGAGAATAAATAGTCCTCAGAAAATGAAATTGCATGTGGAAAATACATATGGAAAATATTCTGCATTCCTGATAACCAAAAAATGTCAATTATAACAATCTTGATGTTAATTTTTATTTGCAACGTTAGCAAAGGCTTTAAAAAATGAGCATAGCCAGTACTGATGGCAGGGTTATAAACCAGGTGCAATAAAAAATGGTGGGAATATTAATTGGTACTGTATGTTACTTAAGTGCTATAATGTTTAAATAGAGGCCTTTTTGCACCTGAGTCATCTAGAGTCTGAATTCCAAAATTTAGTTAAAATATGTACCCTCTAATCTTGTTTGTTGAGTGAACATTCTTTCTTTCTATACTATTTTGAAACTCCTCTCTCATCAAGCTTAGAGCTTTTGTTTTACTCTGAGCAATAAATATTTCCCATGAATTGTGTTTTCCCCTTTGTTTGGATGACAGTAAAAGCAATTGTGTTTGTTTATATTGTTTCTATTTCTAGGAAGTAGATTTTTTTGAGTTAGAATAATTTTTATATTTTTGCTTTACAAGATTGCAAATGCATATTTAATATAAGTTTAAAAGTGTGTTAATTTTAGGTCTGCGTGTATTTTACACAGAGCATTTCCTTTTGTGCTTCAGATGGCAAGGCTGTTTTACCATAAACCCCAGTTCGCCATCTTGGATGAGTGCACGAGTGCGGTCAGTGTGGATGTGGAGGGCTACATTTACAGCCACTGCAGAAAGGTGAGTGGGGCAGGCTCAGCCTCTTCCTGTACTGTGTCCAGCCACGTGTGCATCTGGAGAGAAGATTCCCAGTTACTAAGTAGCAGTAAGTCTATCAAAAGATTCTTGCTTTAATAAAAATGTTTAAACTGGCAATTAGTAGACATGAGTCAAAGAAATTTAATTGTGCATGCATTCTGTATATAATCTCTTCAGCCATTTCTTAGATATGAAACAGTATATTTAACTCTATTTCCCTTTAGCTCATTACTTATACTCAATTAATAATCTGATCCTTTCCAAATTTGTTCTGGAACTTTACCTAAACATCACTTCTTGTTTACCAGGAAAACTCAGTAATAGTATTTGACAATTTGTAATGTATCTATTTTATTCTCTGGCCTGGGCAGTGTTTTACCACAGCTTCTTTTAGCAGCCAAGTCTGTTGCTTTCTACATTGATTTCATTCTTTATTAATTTTTCAATAGTCTCAATTTTTTTTCTTTGAGAAATTGTGATCATTGTTTATACGTGTGTTAGATTTTGAGAGCAACAGTAGTATATCCTCACTTTTATAGTTTCTATGTATGTAATGATATCAGGAGTATTTTTAACGTTTTGTGCCTGTTCTCTGGGCACTTACAATGAATATACAAAGTTGTGAATGGTGTGTAGTTATAACAGATACAGACACAGTGGGATGAATTCCCACTCATCCCAGTGTGCTCGGGAATCAGCAGCACCAGTATCACTTGGGAGTTTGTTAGAAATGCAAAATGACAAGCCCAATAAATAAGAATCTGCCCTTTCACAAAATTCCCAGGTGATTCAAATGCATATTAAAGTTTGAGAGAAGCACTTATGTGGAGATAAGAGAATAAATGTGTTATATTCATCATTGTAGAAAGACTTTACTGATTTTATCTTTTTTTTTTTTTTTT